ATACATTTCAGAGGGCTAGTGTAAATGGGGCATATTTCTCTTAAATTTACCACATTTGGTTTTATGATAATTATAATGGTTTATGGGATTTTGGGGAATGTATTTGATGAAGTGCAAAACAGGCTTAGATTGGAAGGTAACCGGACTTTCGCTCATGTTTGTGGAAGTTTTGACACCAATCCAGGAGACTCTGGTGGCAACAGAATTTACAAAGACTCACAAATTTCTAACTCTTTAGAATTAATCCCTTTCTTTCCTTTTCAGAACTAAGCTTCACTTTGTATTTGTCTGTTGAACAAAATCTGATGAAATAACTTTTTCGGTTTTAAAGTGACAACCTCGTTTTAGAAAATCAAGGGGTATGAATACTTTTGCAAGGCTTTATCTTTTCCACAACCCTCCCTTAAAGCGAGACCAGTTGGTCATTATTGTCAGCGTCTGCATCTCTGCAGGAGAACCACATATCAACAGTTAGAGAGATCATTGATTTGTTATCTGAAAGCTTTTCAGATATCTCCTTTCAGAAAATAGGGGAAGGGATAGAAAACTGTAAAATCTGTTTATGTTTGCTGGGGAAAATTAACGATGAATGGCTTCTTTGTCTGTAGGTCTGCACTGAGCCCCTAGAAGTGAAGAGGGGGGAAAAGGATCTGCATTCCTGGTTGACAGCTTTGAAGCAAGAGATGATTGGAGTCAGAGCTCGGAGGAAATCTTATCTCCTTAGATGATCAGGTGAAGCAAAGCCTGTGTCAGGACTGAATAATGTCTGTCCAAACAGTCCCTCATAAACCTATGTTAACTGAATACACGTGTAACGAAGAGATGTAATTTGGTAGGACGTATCAAATTTGCCTGTTGAATAAATGGGAATGCTGGCAGACAACAAAATGAACTTGTTCTACATAACATGGCGAAACAAAGCTCTGTGCTTGTCACGCACAAATATAAGCTGGCATAGGGGTAACAGCGCCAAGCATTAGGTGAGTTTACCTTGTTTAGACATCTTAGTGTGAACTCATCATGGTAGCGACGTCATGTGACAGCAAAGGGGTTAAAGACACTGAACATTCCTCCCTTCCTAATTGATTTGTGACAATTACTAATTAAGCCTTACGGGTGGTACTCTGATCCCCTGTCTCAGAACGTCATTCATCACAGTAGGGAGGAGGTGCAAGCGTGTCTGATTCTGTTTATGTGTAGCATGTCGGTGGTTTGACAGCCCCATGAGGAGGAGGGCACGCTTGTTAAAGTCACCGCCATAATCGGTAGAAACATGTAGGTTGCTGATGCCTATGAGGGACTGGCTGGTGCTGGGTGATTTTCAACATATGCAACACCTTTTTTCTGCAAGGGGAAAGGGGAATGTTTAATATTTATATATATATATATATATATATATATATATATATATATATATATATATAGTTGCTGAGATAAAAAAGTGTTTTACACAGTTTTCTGAAAAGTGTTGCAGAACATCCAACGTATTTGAAGAAAAGTAAAGACTGGAGCAACATAAAGAAATAATAAAAGAGTTCAAAGGTTAAAACTATTCAGCTGTTCTGTAGCAGGCAAAATTCTTTCCCTTTTATTTGAGCAATATTAATGATGGCCTTTTTATTTATTTATGAAGATCAAGGATTTCAACTGTGACATATAAGACAGGGTTGCGGGTTTGCTTAGAGATGTTTAATAATGCACTAGTGATTACTTTATAGTTCTCCAATTAATTTAGAAAACATTTTTGGCAGGAGAGACATGAGGATAAGCATTCTTATTTTTCTGTAGCACCTGGCTGATCCAAGGCCTTTACAGTTATACTTGTTTTAATTAGTCAAATTAATTACAAGCTTTCAAGCAAGAGTCAGTTCCATTCTGCCAACTGTGTCAGTCTTTAGACAAGTCCCCCGGCAAAAAAGTAAGGAAAGCGTACTGGCAGCTGCTGGAGGCTGATGCTGAAACTAAATGAGTGTTTTTTAAAAGCTACTGTGGGGCAGAAGCTGAATGTCAAAAAACAGAAGGCTGCTGGAGTAACAAGCAGCAGGACAGTATTAATGTGCTCCTAAAAAAATGATGAATAAACTAATGCAACAAATTGTATCAGAGATTTTCTACTGTAAGCAAGTTTTAGGTTCCTTGCATTCATGAACATTGGGCTTTGGCGAAATATAAACCTGTCATTTTCCATAGGTAAATTAATCTTAAAGGCATCTAGAATAACATTTTCCTGAATCTTTGTCATATCTAGAATCAATCATTTTAAGTAGCGGCTTAAAATTCATTGGAAGTGTGTTTTTGCTTATTTATCTTCTGAGAAACTTTAAGGTTGCATTTCTCTTTTCTCTGATCTTGGTGTATCGGGGATGTCATGAGTTTGCAAAACACTGGCCTAAGATTATGCAGCATTAAAATAGGTTTAGCATTTTGGTAATAAAAAAATGTCTTAGAAGATATCTTATTTGGTATTTTTTGTTTCAACAAGAAGACAGTTGGACAACTCGACAATAGGAGGGATGTTGAAACAAAAGTGAAAAAAGCAATATATGGTCAGAGACAAACACAAGCTACACACCGAGTTGCGCTACTTTAGTCTTTTGACCCAAAATTGCTAATTAAACCTCAGGCAGAGGGGGAGATTGAGACAAAACTAGACGTTCTCTACCTTAAGGCAGTCACATAACCTACAGGCTCTACAGCTTGCACACACAAACACAGAGTGAATGCAGCCTCTCAAAGACTTGAACACTGGAAACATCATCTAAGATATATTTTATGTTCCTCTGCACTACAGGTTACTGAACACATATACAGACAATGCAGCATATGCTCTGTTGTATTCAGGAGGCCTTGGATAACTGCGTTGGGAGTATGCAAATTGAACAATGGTTGGTATTAGCGGATGTGAATTTTCACAAATGCTCACTGGCCATTTTAATTGGGCAAAAATGTCCTCTCACATTTAATTTCCTTGGTGTGGAGATAAAGACAGCAGCCAAGTTTTTGCAACAATGGAAGAGCTTCTGAATGAGAGCACTTGTTATATATAATGGATCTGCAAGTTTCAAGTAAATGTTATGGGAAAAGGGAGCATTAGATTGCAAAATAAGTTGTTTCATCATTTCGAGAAAGATGAACAGCTGGGCAGCTAATATTCAATTTAACATTTGAGTACCATTGGCCAATATGTCTTGAAATAACTACTATAAGGAAATCAGAATAAAACAAGCACGTGCTAAAGGGGGGTGATTATATGATATTGATGTGTTCCAAAGTGGGAGTGTGCATGTCCTCTTAGTCCCTCCTTTTTATAATCTGACTTGAAAAAGTTAGCCCCAAAATAATAAAAAAAAAAGTAAAAAACAAAACTTGAGGCAGCAGGTCTGAAATCCCAATGAAGCTGTTGAGCGTTTCTCTATTTTGAAATATCAGGCCTTTGAAGGTAGAGAGGCTGGATCCTTTTGACAGACTGATGACTGAAAGACATCTGGGCTTAGAAACTGAGTCTAAAAAAAATAAATCTAAACAATACAACCGAAAAAATAGCCTGCAAGTTTTTTTTTTTTTTTTCTAACCTCAAAAATACCTTAAAAATTTTTAGGGATACTATTGGGGGGAAAAAAGGAGCATATAACTTGATTTTCCTTTTGAATGTGTTGTATCAAAATTTTTAAATTTTAAATGCTAAATAGTTCTAAATAATTCTTATCTGAGGGTCCAATGCTAACAAATTGATATGAAATACATACGTGGTGATTAGCATTAGAAAATCACAGTGCCTTGCAATAGTATTCACACCCCTTGAACATGATCAGACTCCCATTGAGAATTTGTAAAAACGCGGGATAGTTAAATTGATTTGATCTGTGAACAGAAATCAACTTGTGAAAGATTTGAATTTACTAGAAATGTTCTTCCTTCCTCTTAAGGATGTAAAGGACACCATAGCAGCAAATTCTGCACATTCTATGAAATATTTTAATACGTTTCCATTTGGACAGCCATTTTTGTTACTAAAATAGTGATATCCTACCTTCATATCTTTGACAAAATCGACTGCTTATTACTAAGCACACGAAACTAAATGAGCTTGATTCGGTTGTGGCCAAAACAAACACAACAAAATGAAAAAAACAAACAAAAAACACATTAACTAAGCCATAAGTCATAGCAGCAGCAAAAAAAAAAGTCCAAAACAACAAAAAATGTTCTTATTTAAAATAATGGAGAACATGTCACACAATCCTTAGCTGTAGAAGCCAAGAAGAATGTGTGCAATATATTACTCAGCTGTAAACATCTGAGTTTTTAGCTTGGACGGACATCAGAAGAAAAGAAAGACATTAAGGCATGGAAGTGGGGTTTTACACACTTTCATGTGCATGGAAGTGTGTTAAACCCTGGAGAACAAAACAGGATTTGTTTCCAGCTTAACAATCATAATTTTTTGCAATTTGTTAATCATTAATGACTAATTGGCACACAGGGATATGGAACATGTGGAAATATGGCCTGTAGGCATTAGAGCCACAAATAACAGTAATTGCAAAAGGGAGAACATATGCAGAGAAAACAAAAACCTTAACAAATCTTGACACCTCTTAGTTTGACACATAAATGTATATTCTTTTAAAACAAAGCTTTTATATTTGAATTTATTTGATTTTACTTTGAGTACCGTAAATACTTTAATTTGCCATGCTATTTTCTTAGTCTAAAATCTACCTAAACACCCAGCAAATAGCTTTAATTTGCAGGAAATAATGATCTTTGCTAATTTTAATTAATATTTTTAACCTACAGAAGGATTGTCTGTAAAAAAGGAATCAAAGTATCGCTAGAATCATTCTTTCCGAAGATTGAACTGTGTCGAAAATATTAAGTAGTCCATTTAAGTCAGTATCTGCAATTACAGAAATATTCTTAGGTAAAAGACGCCATCAATGAGAGACAGATTGCATATTCAGATACCTGTTGCATGTATTGTAAATGTGCTCCCCTACCTGCAGTTTGAAAGTTGATGCGTCTCATTTCCACAGGGTCTGTGGGATGGTGGGGTGTAATGTCTGCATTGTTAAGGAGACATTTCGTGCGGGGCTCAGATTCTTTTCTCTTCCGGCTGCAGAGCAAAACAAAGCAGAGATATGTAAAGACAACAAAACAAAACAGAGAAGAAGTGGCAGAAAACAGATCTTTTTTTTAATCATCTGCAACTTTTTTTCCTGTTTAAGGTTTTGATGAAAGCGACCAAACAAACAAAGCATGTTTGTTTTCTACCTAAAACAGATTCATTTATATTATATTATTAATATAATTACAGCCCCGTTTCTTTGTGTTTTAACTCTGTTGTTGTGATTATTAAACATTGTTATCATCAGACCTTGAAACTGAGTGCCTTTAGAAAAAAAAAAGTTGCATTCTCTACAGCATAAATTCAAGATCTTCTGGCTCTTTTCATATTCTAGTGAGGCAGGTCACTCTGTCTCCTTTAGTAAAATTCACCAAATCTAAGTAAGACTACACCTTACCTGTCTGGTTTGCTGTTTCCACAGAATGCAACAGGAACCAAATAAATATATAAAGATGGTAAAAACACAGCACACAAGGAGAAAGGGAGAGGGGGAGGCAAGAAGAGATACAAATCAATAGAGAGCAGTTTAAAATTCACAGGGGTCACTGCTGTGCTCGCAAAAAAAGCGAGATGAAGCTTATCAGCAGCTGAAGGGGTTAGCGTGTTAACAGGAGTGCAGATGTGTCAGAGGGTTAAAATAAATGTGAGTTCTTTATGAAATGTCCAAGTAAGCACATGCATTTGTGACTTTATGAGTGTGCTGTTGTGTGTGTGTTTGTCGGTGTGTGCCCGAGGGTGCAGATACAGAGAGGAGCAGGGAATGTCAGGGCCAAGGGCAGACCCGGGATACACTGTTGACCAAAGATGAGGGAAGCAGGCGGCAGGAGTGGTGGTGGAAGCATGAGACGAAGAGAAAGAGAATGAAGAAAAAGAGAGATCCAAGGAGAGATGTTACTCTCCCTAACCACCAAGACTGACATAAGGCAAGGTCAGACAGCGGGGGGATCATCTGACAGTAGCAGGCTGCTCCTCTGTTTCTCCCCCTAGGCCTTGCTCCCTCCCACCTTTTAGGTAATTCAGGAATCTCTGCATGTTAAGGAACTAGCTCCTCATACCTAATGCTAAGTTCTAACTTCCAGAATCTGAAGATAAAGGAAACAACTTGCTGTGAAACAAGGGCAGCCTATTGACCTAATCTGCCTGATCCTTCTGCTCTTTTACTGAGCTTTGATAGAGCAGCTTATAATTACTGCAAGCGTATCCCTGAAAACACTGAGAGACTATCGAACAACTACAATGGAAGAAAAACATTTTTAAGTGTATGTTTTACTTATTAGCAGGTTTAATTCCATTAAAAATCTCTGTTTTTGATCATTTTCTCAAAGAGTCTCATCATCTCTTCTTTCTCCAACCAGCTCACTCCCCACAGCCATCTTTTACCACAACAAACACTCGTTCACATTTGCATACAGCAATGTTATTGGGTCTTTTTATCATGCTGCAATGAATACAAAACACGACCCCACTTTGGCATGCTTCCTGACATGCAATTATTTCCCAATAACCCAATTCGCCACATAAACTACAAATAACCAGTTTAACGTCAAATAATGAGAACATATTGTGATATTGCTAAACATGTGGGAAATTGAATTTTTATATCACATTTAGTCCAAATAATAAAACATGGCTTGTGGTTTAATATTTTATGGGCCCTTGGCTGGAGCAGGGACCAACAATGCTAAGCTCTGATTCAGCTCCCTGTCTGATAAGACAAGAGATATGCTGCTTAACAACCTTCCTCTGAGAAATGCTTATTAAACTGGCAAAATATCCATACAGTGAAACTACTTGAAAACCCTTTGGTGTTTCTCATCATTTGATGTTAAACAATTTTTATTAGTGCTGTCAAAATCTCATTCATAGAGAAGTCCTCCCAAAATCCATTTATTCCAAATCCCACTCACTTTTTCAATAGAAGAATAGAGATGACAATGCCAATGATGAAGACCACAGCCAAGACAGGACCGACCACCCAAATGAGCCCGTCACTAGGCTCCATTGGCAAAGGGTCCCTCACCATCTCTGGAGTCACCACAGTGTCAGTATAGGGGCTGGTTGCAAACATTTTCTGTGGAACACAAAAAAAAACAATATATAAATCTGAAGTATAGGTGGATAAAAAGTACAGTGGATTGACAAAAACTTGAAAATCAAATAGAAAGAGGCTAAAAACAAGGTAACAAAAGTGCACTCACCCCAACAGGTGCATTAAGTTCAGCAAGCAGGAAGAAGACATATTCCTGACCAGGTACAAGAGGCTTGTTCTCACAGCTGCTCAGGCGGTGGTCAGACCCCACTGTGAAGGTGGAGGGCAGCTGCTTGAAGCAGGCCGTGATGTAGGCCTGCTTCTGGTCTGTTTGAGCCAGCTGGCGCCGTGAACGTCGCTTTGGGATCACATCCCTCAGCAGCTGCTCAAAGTAAAGATGGTATTAGTTCTATTTTTTCTATTTTTGTTTCAGTTTTGGTAACACTATTCAAATAAATAAGAAAAAAAGACTGAGTAAGGATTAGCTACAGCTAAATCCACTAATATTTCTGGAGGATTTAGTATCTGTGATGCTAGTAGACAACAAAATTAAGAAGTAAAAATCACTATAAAACATATTTTGTGGTCCCAGTTTTCAGCATAAAAACATGCACAAAAACAATTATTCCTACAAAAGATATAGATTTTGTATTATCTGATTAAATCAAGAAATTTTAATGGGAAAAGCAATATCTGATAAAACCCAATGCATTTCTATATTATATTAAGAGAATAAGCAAAAATAGTAAATAACACAAATGCAAAACAATGAGAGAAAACACAACAGCTCGAGCAAAAGAAAAAACAACTTATGTAGTGTTGCATTGAACCCCAGGTAAAAAAAAAAAAATCTTCAAAAAGAATTCAAAAGAAGGCAGTAGTGAGTCTGCTTTACACATAGAGGCAACAGCTTCTATAATTTAGCAGCCACAGCTGCAAAAGTCTTATCACTTGTTATTTAGCCTTGGCTTTGAAAAAGCCGAGAGCTGCTGTTTGGCTGACCTTGGAGTCTCTAAAGTAGAGCACAGGTGAAGTAGATCATAAAAACATTAAAAAGCAAATAAAAATCTTAAAATCAATTCCATAGCACAAAGGAAGTCATTGAAGAGTAGTCTCTATGTAGTTATGTGTGGTAAAACAGGCGCAGCTGCAGGAAAAACTGGACAAGCTGAAGGTAAGAGAGGGCAGACTATCAAAACCCCAAAATAGAGCATAGCAATAATGATGGTGAAAATTAAGAAAGGCGAGAACTATCTTATTAAAATCATGTCTGGACAAAACGGTCTTGACTTTGGCAAATTTGACAGACATCTATCAAAAAATATAATTATTTAAAATGCAGTTTTTTATTTTATTCACCAGTTTTATTTTAAAAAGGTAATTATTAATCAGTGGAAACTCTCTATTGGTGTTAATGCAGGCATTTGTTGTCCTGCATGAACCCTGTTTCCATGAGTACTTCAAAGATTTATCTTTGCTCAAGAGTTTGATGTTAAAAGGTCTTCTCTACATTTCTTATACTTGGGTCTCTTTACAAGAGACCTTTACCTTGACTTCTCACAAGTGTTGAGCTTATTTTTCAGAAAAATTTTGCAGATATAACTTTAGTTTAGTTTTTTTTTTTTTTTACTTTACTAAGTAGAAACTTCTGATAGTGATAAGTAAAAGAAAATAATGATGTACTAGTATCAGTGCTGTGAGTTCCATTCTGGTAAATATCATTTACAACATGGTTTACATTTACAACTAATAATATAAGTCAAGTTCTTTAGTCAAGAACGCCTGCCTCTTCACACCATTTAGCATTCACATCATATAATTTATCCAGTGCTTGTCACTAATTTGGTAGACAAAGGTTTAATAACAAACCTCATGCCTTTATTAGAACTTACCTCTTCTATGTCCATCTCATCTGGGTTCCGCAAGTTCTTTACTGTTCCTGATGTTGTTTTAAGAGGCACCACCACAACATAGAAATTCCTGGAAATGTTCCAAGAAAGAAAATACATAATTGCTAAAGGTATGGTCTTCACTAGACAGAGGTAGTTGCTAAAAGTCAGAACAGAACTTGTCAGCAACACGGATGCTTCCAATACACAGACTGTACCATACTTACTTAACATCTCTGCTGTGTGGTGGTTGAAAGGTCATGGTGAGGATGTTCTCAGGCTCAGCGTAGATGTCCAGTTTGGGTTTTCTGACCTGGATAGAAGGTGCTGTCCTGGCGACCACACGATGCCGGGGTCCACCCTCCGTGCTTTCTTGGCAAGTCACCTTGAATTCATAGGTGCTGTTGTGTCTTAGCCCAGTGATGTACGCCTTCAACTTCCTTGCATCCACATCCATCTTTAGACGGTTATACTCAATCTAGAGAGAAACAAATTTGACTTTGATTGATCAAAACATATGTTTATAAACAGATGAAAGGTAGGCAACGGAGAAACAATATGAAGAATGGTGGCTTTAGGAAATGTTTTTTCAACAAAATATACATAAAAATCCCACAATAAGATAAACATGTTAAAAGTCAGATTGACATTACTTGGTAAACTTACAGTGCAGTTGTATGGTGATCCTCTATCTGAAAACTTCCATCCAAGCACCACTGTCGTCTTTGTGGCCCACTTTACGGTGAAATTCTTTGGGACATCTGTTAGCAAGAGAAATGTGGAAGAAAAGAGAAAAAAAATGGAATTGGGAAAAATGTAAAATAACTGTGACAAGAGAAAGGAAAGAAGCTGCTCCCCTGCAAGATTCCTCTGGCTTAAAGAGTGAATGCAGCGGTGTGATGTGATTGGCTGGGAGAAGGGTAATGCCATTGGTTAACACACAGACTCATAGACAACAAATGAAGCACAAGTTTACGCCTTTAGGCTAGCCATCATTGGGAGTGCCAACCCATCTCTGACATTGACCATGACCACTTAATGGTTAACCATTTACCCCTGCAAAGAACCCAAACAGTGTTGCAGAGTTTGAGTAAGCACTGCCAATTTGCTGCCACACAGACATTAAGACAGACCCAAAACACTGCATGCCAACAGTCCTGAGCAGTGCATCTGTGGGGATGCCATGCCACAAGCTGTCCTGTTAAGGGACAAAGGAAAGGAGAGGGGTAAAGAAGTTTTGAGAGAAGAAGGGAGTTAGGAAAGAAATATCAAACCAAAAATAAAGTCAATTAATAAACAGAATTGTGTGATCCTAGAATGCCCCGTACACAGGTTTTATTGACTGGATTTGACTAGGGTCCTACCTTTTTTCAAAACCGGGAAGTGAGATAGCAAAAGTGGTGCGAGTGTGCTCGATAAAAGGGTCCAGGAACTGCTAGGAGTATCTGACCAACACCACTTACCTTAAAAATTCTATGCTGCTCTCCACTTTTAATGACTGACTGTAACTTACTGACTTTCATGTTACCTGCTTTGAGTTAGTGATGTAAGTAATCCGTGGCAAGCATTTTAAAAAGTTCTCTCGGAGATGGAGTCAAGTCGGTTGAAGAACTTGTTCAGGTGTTTTGTTTTGCTATTTGGTTAAATGTGAACAATGATTTGAACAGATTTCCAACCCCCTGCCACTGGGTTAGAAAAGAAACAGGCAAGCCCTACCTGTAGCATCAATGGCCACCGTCCGATACTGGATGGGCGGGCTGTAGGGCCCTGGACCTACACTGGTGTGGGCACGTATTTTCACATCATATGCAGAGTTTGGTTTGAGGCTGTTGAGTTCATAGCTAGACAGGCTGGGAGGTAACCGAAGTTCTTGTGGTGCCTGTCTTGTCCCAGCTTCTTTAAAAGCCAGAGTGTACTCTGTGATGACCCCGTTCCTCTCTGCCAGTACTGGTGGAGACCAGGACAGCTGTACTGAGCAGCATGTTACCGAGGAACCCTCATTTATTTGAGGGTATCCTCCAGGGATATTCTCAGGAACAGTGAGTTCCGCCACAGCCTCTTCCCCAAAGCCTCCTCTGCTTTTGGCTGAGATCTTAAAGAGATAAGTGGCACCATGATGAATATTGCCCACAGAATACTGTCTTTCTTGGGGAGAAAACTCCAATGTGGCCAGAGGGGAGACATCTTTCCGGCCAAACTGGAGGCGGTATCCCTGCAGGTCCATTCCATTTATCAGGTCTGGAGGATCCCATTGAACAACAGCTGAGGTCTTTGAATCTTGAGCTACTGACAGATACGGCGGACCAGGCACTGTGCAAAAACAGTAATAGAAAAAAACTTAATTTTTGTACACCTATTTATACAATGTCTCATACCATTTGCAGAGATGCTATCAAATTAACTCAACAGACAGACTTCTTATATACTGATTAGCTTACTGATGATGATTTTAGTCAAAACGTTTTAATGTAGATCAACACAATGTACAATAGTTTAATACAATGGCTATGTTTATGCATAAATAAATAACTTTATCAGGATGTTTTTAAACAATTAGAGGACTTTTAAAAGTGGTTGGCTGCACTGGATTTTAGTAAGGAGTTTCCGAATAAAGAGTCTCACTACATCCAAACATTTTTTTAATCACTTGTTCCTTCCAATTCTGTCTTTAATGTTAAATCCAATAAAATATATTTAACACTCTTACATGGCATTGTATATTCATGCTTGATTATAAAGCATGCTTGTGAAATGTTTTCTGCATATGTGATCATAGAAGACAAGTTCAAACCTTCTAAATGATTTATGCTAAAAGATCACAGAAACTGAAGCTAAACTTGCAAATTAGAATTTAGCTATTTATTAATTTACAAAGCTGAGTAACCTTCTGTGGCAAGGCGACATGAAAGATCCTTGGAAATGGAAAATTCTACTATTCTGTGCTATTCCCATTATCATTTCCTGTTGCGTGTTTTAGCCAGAAGAACCTTAGAACTGCAAAACATTACAAACAATTTAACTAAAAAACTGTGCATGATTTATTAGATGTCATCTTTTAGTTGTAAAATTGATGATCTACTCGAGGATTCAGGCTCCTTTGCCCTGAACATCTCAGTTTCTGTGCTCTGATGGATGATGGATCTCCTCTGAATCCTGTTTAAGGATCCAATGACAGAGGCAGTGGAATTTAAGAAATGCTTAGAGTCCCTTACCAGCCGTAAATGTTTTTCCTTTTTCTTTTAAGTGGAGAGATGAGTTACTCATATGCTCAAAGCCACATCTCAATGTAAAATAGATGCAACCATGATGTGCAATCACTTGTCCATTTCTGTTTAAACAGAGTCATATTATCAGGGTTGTGGACATATATGTCATAAGGAAATCAGCACTTGGCTTTTGAATATAAATAGAAATTGTAGAGTCTTCCAAACGTTCTCCTGCAGAGTTGGTCCTCCCTCAGGCAAACTGTCTGGAGGAAAATTATGAGCTGACCGATTCACACAACTTGGGTGTAGTTAGAATAATTGCAATTAAACACAACACCGTAATGCACCATCAAACACATTAGAACTTGAGAACAGAAGAAAAATTGTTCATCGCTTCTGGCCTTTTCCGCCCTTTGGCATTTTAAACTGCTGCAGCTTTGGTACATTTTTGGGAATTAAATGGAGTGCTGGCTGTATTGGATATTTTATCCTTTCCATTCATCAGTTTTTATCCAGCAGCTCGAAGTTTCATACATGCTTTGGCGAATGATAGTTTTAAAACTGTTACCATTTCTATATTTTATTTCTATGAAAGATTTCTGAAAAAAAAATGATAATTTGAGCATCTCATTTAAACTTATTAATGACTTTTATCTTAATTATTGGGTACTAAATCAAATAGGAAGATCTTGGCAACATGTGGAAAAAGAATGACATTGAGTTAGAAACTGACCAAGGGTTAGGTTGACCAGAAGCCGGTGACCATATAAGAAATTATCACAAACATTTAACTTAAAAAAAATAAAACAACAATGAAACACATAAAAATATCTGCAATAAAGGAATTGTGCATTTTGTTGATTAGAATTCATATGCAATCCTGTTTGTAGTATAATTAGAACTGTACAAAATGAAAAATACACTAAAACATCGTGAGACATGTAGTGCTACTAAAACCGAGCCCTATCACTGGTGAATGGCGGAAAAACATAAACTAGGAAATTAATCATTTTCAGGTTTATTTTTCTGATTTTGTTTGATTTTGTCAATTATTTGGTATTAATCATACATAAAGCTTACCAACGGGATGAAAACACCTGGTTTGCAGAAACTGTGTTAGCTTTTCCTGAATTCATCAAGCTGCATAAGCTGAATAAAAGTGATAACTTATGATTATTTAGTTTTGATTAACAACGGTCTGCTCTGCAGAATGAAAATCATCACCAGTTTCACGATGTTCCCTTTGGGATGTGACTTTTTTGTTGATGTTTTTTCCCCTACTACTTCACACTGTAAGTAATTAAACTGCAATACATCTTTCTCCCATTTCTTATAGCATTTTAAATTAAGTGCATTTGGTTTGGTACACTGACAAAGCAATTTTGCCTTCATAAGCTGTAAAACTTTCAATTCAGTCTCTATATGTATGTGCTTGTACAAATACACAATGCAATTTGCTACTTACAATCATCTTCTTTTTTCTTTTTAGTCTGTTTGCTAATTGTTGCCATTCTGAAAATGGTGGTTCAGACAGTCAATTGTTAGCAAAGCTTAAACCCCTACAGGTGCTGTATTTTGGGTGAACAAGTGTTTCTACTTCTTGGCAAGATGCTTTAGCTCAGCTTAGTGTCATTTAATAGTCCCCTCTGCTTTCATGTTTGCTGTTAATCGAGGAAATGTAATAACTAATTGTGGGTTGACTCCATGGGTGTATTTTTTTTACTTCAATCCCAAAATCAACAGGCTGCCATTTGTATCCTTCACAGCCTTTCTAACCTCGGTGACAGTTTGACTATTTGTACATTCAAAACTTTGACCTAATACAATGCTGTGGAGTGGGATCAGGGGCACTAAGCCAGCAGATTGGTGTCAGGAGGGGTAGTGGAAGCAGGGGGGATGGTTCATGCTGTGTGTATGCATGTGTGGTCATGGGGTGATAAGAGAGCAAGGGCATTGTGAGTAAAGTGAAAATGAGGGCTGATGAAGGTTACTAGGGACAGGGAGCAATCAGCTGCAAAAAGGACCCACAGGGATATGAGGAGCCTGATTTGTTTGTCTGTGAGGGATACATGAGCGGTTTCTGGACACCTTGATTGTCCTTCTTCTCTCTTTTCCTTACCTTATGCCCCCCAAACTACCCTCCATCACCACCACCTTTCATTATATCCAAACCTCTATTCCATCACTCCATCTTTGTTCATTTCATGACCAACCCTAGTTTAATCCCTCCATGTGGAACTCCTGACACGTCTCTCATCAGACGGCAGAATTACCAGCTTTCTGTTGACACTCACATACCAAGAAAGAAGGAACCAGTGCATCCTTTGTTTACCGTTCATGCACACACACACACTATATATATATATATATATATATACATTTATGATCAAGTTTTTCTTTGTGTGTGAGTGTTAATGTAAACCAACACAAACATGTTGATAGTAATGTAAAGGTCAAGATAAAAGTCCACTTTTTTGTCAATTTATCATGGATATAAAATCATTTTTTTCCCCCTTTTTTTCAGAATTTTAAAGCAAGAAAAGTCTCTCAAACCTGAAGCTGACACCGAGAGGGAAGTTAAGGAAAACTATCAATGAACCTTTGCCATCAAGATCAACATGTCTCTGTCAAAGCTTTGTGTACTCTTAATTTATTGAAATGTAGACTAGTTGCTCTTTCCACCTGATTTAGACCAGTAATATGTTGCTTTAATAGAAGATACAACAGAGGGGAGAGATGAACGCTTAGAGAGGATGGCCTTAACAGGGACTATGTAAGGTTTCCTCGATCAACCAACATAATATTATATGTGTTCCTCTTTCCAAAATAGCGCTCCTTCATCCTTTCCTCTAAAGGCTCTATTAGCACTAGAAAGATAAACTACTGCACAGATTTAGACACCAAATATCTGATGACAGGGTCAGTTTTGTGCGATAGCTAATAAAAGAGACTGAAAAAAGTCAACGGAAGGGGAACCACAACTTCTCAAAAATCATGACAGTTGTTGACATTCATGCTAGGAAAATTACTTAAAATGTTCAATATGTTCTGAAATATCAACAGGATTAAAAATTAAATTCAATCACTTTGAAAGACTTTCCAGAAACACTTTCCACAAATTTAAGGGCCATTTGCAATAGCATTTACTTCCTGGTTGAAAAGGTATTTAATTATCACACAAATTCAATGAAAAAAAAACAAAAAAAAAACAGAATGACAAATAAGTTGTTGGATCAGAATAAAAAAAAATAGAGGAACCATGACCAACATTCTAATCAATGATTCTTAAAGTCAACATTTTTATCCACAATACATGGGCATATTTAGTGAAGGAGAGACTAGGCTTTGCTGGAACCTTTATACTCTACAGCAAATATGTTGCAAGCTTAAAATTGATCTGCAACAAGTGACAAAAAAACAGAATTTTCATTTTGTTTTGGTCCTTTGACAGCTGCATTTGGCAAGCCAAACTCCCTGGATTCAGCATTTTCTAGGGCATGGTATTGGGTGCCAACGTGATTACTAATTCAATGTGATTGGCAATTCACCCGTGGGAAAATAGCACGCACAGATGCATGTGCTATAACATGAATGTAAGCTGGACAGGAAACACTAGAATCCAGGGCTTGAAACACTAAAAATAATAAGTTGACAGAGGTCACCTTTCAAGAAAAGTCCTTACATTATTTTTATCTTTTTCTTTTCTTCTTTTTTTAAGGTTAAACATAAAAAAGAAATATTTTAGCACTTTCAAGAAAGTGTGTCTTAATGCCAGTTTTTTTATTTATTTATTTTTTATATATATAAAAGTCCTTTAACAACATTTTTTAGTCAAAAACCTTTAAGGATTTTAGGCAACTATGGGAACCTTTTTTTATCTTGGATCTCTTCAACAATGGTTATAAGTTTTTCACTGTGCCAGCCTAGGGTAGAAACACACATTGAGTAGCAATATTTTAATCTTGTTCAGTTCAAATGTAGTTCGCAAAGGTATATTTTTCCTCGGAATTTACAAAGAATAAACATCTTAAGTTTCAATGACAAAGTCAAATACGGATTTAAGATCACTTTCTCAGAACCAATGCCAAGCTTGATCTATAGCCTAGCTCTTTTATATTAAACAACTGGTCCATGGCTTTGTTTACTCCCTGCACAATAACTGCGATGCAATTCTCATTGTGAAGCAGAATTAACCAAGCATTAGATTGTTCACCTACTAACAGTGAACCTGAGCTGGATTTAGACCATTGTGGGACAGGTTAGCTCTACCCTACTTATAATGTATTGTTGCAGAAGCAATCCTTCTCCCCGTCCGAGACTGCAATATATACAGAAACTGTGCTTAAAAATACATTTCGTTGATGTTGTTTTTTTCTTTAAATGTATCACCTAAAGTAGGTGTAGGAAACCAAAATCACCATTATTGCTATAGTTAACTTAACCATGATCAATACCTTGCATTATGCTATTTAGAACTGTTTTCTGATTGACATTACTGGATCACCGAGAATTTGCAGAGGTAACACTTTATTGTAGTTTGTATTGTATTCAGTTCCTTTTTTTAATTTTGTACTTTATACTGTAAAATCAAGTACTAGCCCTTGCCTATAAAAGGACTGATGTTCTCTTTTTAAGATAACTTACTTTTCAGGCCATATCGAGGAGTAAGGCCTCCATACATGGATTGTGCGCGGTAACCGTTTCGCCACGGAAGCACGCCGTAATTAATTGGCATGTCTAAATTGTCTAAATTGCATGATTTTATGTCTTTTTATGCATCTGTGTTTCCCTTTGACAAACTGGTGAACTGTCCAGGGTATACCCCTCTGCTCGCCCATAGACTGTCTGAGATAGACACCAGCCCCACCTATCCTGTCAAACTAAGCAATACTAGATATATGGATGATTTTTTTTCACATACAAAATTATATCAGGAAAGCTTGCAATGAGGTCCAGAAGATGAACTGACATGGCAAACAATGTGAATTGACTGGTGGCACAAAAACCTGCTCTACTTTCCACAATGTTTTGTCTCAATGTTGCCTTTTCAGGCTTTTATCTTTCCTAAAGAAAGGAAATGGCTTTGACATAACCACCCCTGGAGGCATTTGTGCTACTTAAATGCATGTTTCTCTGGAATATAGAAAAAAAAAGACCTAAAGAGCCATTTTATAACCTTTACAATTGTATAACTTAAATTTACACAGATGCCAGGTACACCATGTTGTTCCACCACACATATTAACATCACACTTTTAAGAATTGCTCACACTTGAAGGAGTGAGCAGTGAGGAGATAGAGAGGGTCATGAACATGGAGAGCTAGGACTAATCGGTGTGGTCTGATTGAATACAAAAGTCGTTACAGTCAAATTGGTCAAAGGTGTCAGACTATACAGTTCATCACAGTTTATTACAATGGGGCTGCAGAACCACACTGCAGTCAGGGTGCAAATGCTGACTCCTGTCTACCACTAAAGGCACAGACAGCGGGCATATAAGCATCACAACTGGAGCGTGAAACAAAGGAAGAAAGTAGCCTCATCTGATGAATTATATTTTCCTTTACATCATGAGAAAGCACCGCTTTTATGCACGGTTTTATAGAAACAATATTCCCTGATGTTTACAATACAGCCTCTTTCAGCAGACCAATGCACACTGCAAACAGAGTTAAGAAATGCTTTAAATAGACTAACTGCTAGTCTAAGGTGTTGAATTTGCATATATAACTTATGGGATGTGCTAAACAAACAGGTCAATCTAGTGGAGGCATGGCATGAAAACTGAAGAAATCTGAGACATCTGCTTAAATATCGGTGCCAGATACCAAAGTAGACTTTTAGGGGTTTAGTTTAGTCTCAACTGGGCTGTTTTAACACCAATAAAGAGATCCATTACTATGCAAACTGGTGATTGTGATGTTTCTGTAGGTCTTATCCATGTATTTATTAATGTCGTAGAAGTTTATCTTGGTATAGCAGTAAAATCCACATAAGCGTGATTACCTACAAGTCTAGTCTTACTTTAAAAAGAACAAAACTATTTTCTTATAAAAAGACTTTCATCATTTACCAAGGTGGAATTTGTTAAAACCTGAAGGCTTTTAGGTTTCTTTAAGAAACAGAGTTGGACTTATGGCAAACACCCACTAATTGGAATCTGGGCAATTGTGTTGTTTCTTGTGTAGGAATTTGCTTTAGCACAGGGACTTATGTGTTCAATATTCTAATAATATGCAAGTGACTTAATATCTTTCTGTTTTGATGCTTGGTTTCTTGCACACCTACACACTATAACCATTTGCATCTTCTTCTGAAGGCTTATACAAAGTGAACTGTGCTTCACAGTTTAGATTATGTTTGTGATAGCTAAATGAGCACTTGTGGTGTATTCAAACTGTGCATGCCAGTGGTTATGAGACGACATATTAAGAATACATGATTTTGAAGAGCTGTTCCTTGAATGTTTTATTCATACAGCAGAAACCAACGACCAGGGAAGGGTTCTCATGCTGTCATAATCTGTCTCTAAAATCTCAAAGTATCTTAAATGATGCCCTTGATCTCCTAAAAATCTGTGGCTGGTCCGATGAGTTTGACTCAGAATGTAAAAGAAATACTAATACAAGCCAGTGTCTGATGAAATACATCGTTTAAAAGACTACTGACTCAAGGACATGTTTTTTTCTATAGCTAAAGTTCTTAACATGAAACATAACCATAACTTAAATTAAAAAAATAAATACTCAAATTTCAAAAATTATCAGCATCATTTGCATAAAAGTTTTACCAATGCATGCAAATGTTTTAAAAACAATTTTTAACTTCTGCATTGTTTTGTTTTTATGCACAAAAAAACTAAAGTACACTGTAAAAAATAATCTAAAATAAATTAAACTTTCTTTAGAATAGAAAATCCCTTTATTGTCCCACAATAGCGAAATTCTGGTATTTACAGCACCAAGAAGATTATAGAAAAAATGGTCACACAAATGTGGATGTTAGAAATATATATAAGAATCACATAATAGTGCAGAGTTAAATTATAAGCAATAAAAAAAACTACAGTAAAGATTTTTAACAATATAAAACTGTGCACCTGGAGAATAAATAACCAATATACAGCTATGTATCTAAAATGTTCTGACAATGGAATTTAAATTTAAACTAAGACAATAATATACAGTATATATTAAATATACTGCAATTAATTTTTTTTCTAAAAATTAAGGGTAAAACCTTTTCCCATCAGTTGATCATTCCCTTACTTATGTATAATCAAGTGCAAATACACTTATTTAAGAAAACTGTTAGTTTACTCTTTGCAGTGTAACAGTCGGTTTGCAATGATCAAGAACCCCCTTCAGAAACCCGTCACCCCAGCTTGAACCAATTAATTTTATTTCGCTACTGACCTGCCCCTTTGGTCACCACCACTTTGGGTTTACTTCGAGCTCCATCTCCCTTGGTGGTGTAAGCTGCTACAGTGACAGAGTAAGTGGTGTCTGGTTTGAGTCCTCCGATGACCATTTCCTAAGGGGAACACGGAATAGACAGGGAAAAGGAAAATGTCAAAACATCTTCTGAATTTTTCATGATCTGACCCCCCTTTGTACAGCTCAAAGCACCTTGTGCTGAATGTTAATCCAAGCATCTCCAGGTCCTCTTTATTCATTTTCACGAGATTGCATGCATTATACGCAACAATTCTCCTTCTGTAATGGGAGACCATTACGCAAACCCTCAGAGCCACAGAGGTGGAGGAGGGACATTATGTATGTAAATGCAAAGTAGCTCTCTCCCCTATTCCTTTAGCAATATCCCGATCAACAACTTAACTTTGATAAATGCCTGCTGAATACATCCTGGCCTTTCACTGGCAGTTTTTACCAAGGCCATTAAGTTTCCTTGAGTCTTCTTCAAAGAGAGGCTCCCGATCAATTCTAATGAATCTTTCAAAGGAGCAGGTTTTTAACGAATGCAGAACGAGGTTTTTAACAGGCTGGTTGGCAGGGGGATGGGGTAAGTCAATAATGGTAAATAAGGTATAAGCACCTTTTTTTCTTTTTACACCTAATACTATTTTCATGAAATGCATTTTTTATTTTCATTTTGGATAAAATAACATAAAATATTATCATCTTATAACAGATTGATTTCTAAAAGGATTTCAAGCCTTCCTACATTTTGTCTGCAACTTCAATGCAGTATGCTGATATTGTTATTAAATCTAAAAGTTTCTATCCTATATCTTCAAACTACTCTAAGTTTATTAAGGAGAGGCATCCCAACAAGATGATACTGTCACTTCCATGTTTCTTACTGCAGGTGAGAAAGTAAGCCAAAGTGACAGGCTTTCAAGTTATCTGAAAAAAGAAGATGCTTTTTCATGTTTGCACTGTTCCCCTGCTCAGACAGTGTCAAGCTTTAAACCAGTTATTACTAACTTATTTATTGTTACCACTCTTACATTAAAGCCAGATTTTTTGAATGCAGCTCCACTTATTGTCCTGTGGTGTTTCACTTACGCTTTAGATCTCTACAGCTACTATAGAAGTAACATGGTCTTCTTAGCCGTTTGACTTTTTAGTATGACAAAATATGGAAAGGTTCAATAAATAGCAAAACTTTGGAAAAGCAATGTACCTTGTGAATTTGAAGTAGGAACCAAGGGCATGTATTCAGTATGCATATGGCTATAGTTATTATCAGACTTATAAAGGAAAAGTAATAGAAAGAAACATAATGTCACCACAAAACAAAGTAAAAATTCAAATTTAATGCACAGAAATAAAAAGAATTAAAACCACCGAAAGACAAACCAATGTTTCTGCACACAGCAAGATGCATGTAGCTTTAGCACTGAGGAGTTAGCAAGTGGATACTGCATCAGCCAGTTTTTTGCTTTAAGCCAACTGTTAACAGATTATTCTAAATAGCATATTTCAATAGCACAACAATTTCAAGTGCTATATTAATACCATATTAGGGCATTGTCCTTATACTGTATAAGGATAACAAAACATAAACTAAAAGTAAAAATTTCTTATAGTAAAAGTCCTTATATTGTCCATATAGTGTAAAGGGATGTAAGGCCAATGTGGATGTGGTCTGGTCAGGCCGCTGAAGTGAAGCCTCTTAGCCCCTTCATTGTTCCGTGACAGTAAATTAAGACAAGGGTTGAGGCGAATGTGCACCTAACCAGGGTTGATGCAATAGCCACTGTTTTAGGAACATAAAGCACTCAGGCAAAACTTCATACTCACATATTCAGCCGTATCGTCCGTTTCCCACTAACCCCCCCGCCAAAGTGAAGAGCGCAGGAGAGAGGGGGACAAAAAGAGCATCTTTTTTAAGAAAAAGGAAAATGGAAGAGGGAGAAATAGGATTTTGAGAGATTGGGGCTTTAGAGGTTTAGGATGGGCAGGCAGCAGAAATAGGTCACTAGTTTTGGGAGGTCAGAGGAAAGAAGCCCTGCTTGAAGCTTAAAGGAGATACAACAGGAACAAGCCAAGCGCTATAGGTCTTCCAGTACACACAAGTCAACAGAATCAAAAATTCACATTAGGGTGCAACTTCACACCATTTGGAGATGAGCTAGCTTTTGTATTTCTGAAAAGTTAATCCTTTTATTTTTGTTCTGGCATTTGCATTGCTGCAGATAATATAATTTATGTCACTCGAGCTTATTAGATCAACAATTTAATGTAACGCTCAAGGCATTGTGATTGTGCTGACACTTTTTCATTAGTGAGAACAGTGGTTTAAATGGACACCTTCTCAAAAGCAAAGCCGAAAAGTGTTATGCTGCTCCGCCATGCAGCACAGCTAAATAGGTGCCATTTAGGTAATAACCTAAGGAGATTACCAAGTGTTTATATCTACAAACAGAGCTGCATAGGGTGAAGTTTTGCTATTAAATAGTGTAAAAAATCCTGGACTCTACATCGATAATATCCCTAGGATGCTCTGGCATTACTTCTTTTGCAAATACGAAATAAGGCTCTGCATAAGGATAAATAGTGATGCTCTTTAGTGGACAGCTGCCAAATTACAACACTAAAAGTTGTCTGCTGAGATGAATTGTAATCTCAGAATTTATTAACCCATAGTAAATCGTCAGTGTGTTTTTTATTTATATATATATATATATATATATATATATATATATATATATATATATATATATATATATATATATATATATATATATATATATATATATATATATATATGTATATATATATATATATATATATATATATAGATATATATATACTGCATTAATAGCTGCTGTTTTTGAGCAGGTTGAGGTAAAAAGGAATGTGTTACAGCAGCATGAAATATTATCCAAGCGGTAACATCTATGACATTACTCTTTGTGCTGTAGTGACATCATAAAGCACCAACTGATTGTAAAGAAAGATGCAAAGATCAAAGTTGGTTTTTTGATGAATGCAGGGCAAATCTGTATACACATTATGGTTTATTCTCCAGCCTAACCTGTTTATATTTGTAAATGATTTCTTCACTTTGACCAATGAAACAAGTTCAAGGTGAATCAAGCTAAAATGTTGCCAAGTCATCAGCCTGTTTTCCATGGTATCTTTACATGTAAGTATAGGTGGTTGTGATTAGCATTTTAATGAGAAAATCTAAGTACTAATGGTCATACCTGGGCATCAGCAAGCATGACATCCTTGATGAGGGGAAGCCCCCTTGACTCGCCATTTTCCACACGCACGTAGTGAACCTGGTAGCCACGAATTTGACCGTTTTGTTTTCCTGGTGTCACAGAACGCCACATTACTTTGAGCGATGTGGAGTTGAGGACCTCCACTTCAACTCTTCTTGGTGCAGCTCCAGGAACTATAAAAAAAACAAATCCAAAAATCAGACGAGACGATAAACATGCAGTAGTATTACAAACTAGTGCAACTGTCAAAATCCAATAGACTCCTCATACAGATATGTCTTAAAACATTATACATCAAATAGATGACACAGAATACAACACTGAGTGCAAGGCCTTTTTTTCTCTCATATATCCTGCCCTCTTTCTCGTGTAATCTCCACCCTTTCATTATGTCTGTTGACGGTGAGAAGCCTTGCCACTTACTCATAATGACCAACCTTTATGGCGGGCCTAGCATTCAGGCCATTTGAGGTGGCAGGGAAAATCCTTTTCTTAGATAAATGTGCCCAGAATAAGACTCCTCCCCATAAACAGCTTCTATTTGCTTCGCCACAAACACTTGAGGTCTTCTTCACCTCTCTAAAAGACAAACTCATCCCACCCTCTGTCCAGCACCTTTCTACTTTATAACCAATGTTTTGGTTATTTAAGTGACAGTTGGGATAAGTTGTTCTTCCTTTTAACTCAGTAACTGTCACTAAGAGTATTTAAAAAAAACGTCCCTGTCAGACAAATGCCAAAAAGGCCAATATGAAATATGCCAAACAGGCTATGTAGAATGAAAGCCAATATAAGACAATATGAGTCATGGGTTCTGTGACTAGATCTGACTTTTATGTCTCAGTTTGGGGTTTAGCTTTTGCTGTCAAACTCTGTGTCATATGAGGGTCCTTATTAAGTTTTTTCAGAGAAAATGCTTATTTAACTTCCCTATTTTGTACCAAATTCTAAAAGGTAGATGTGGAGGGGCAGGGAAACAAAATAAAAGTGCATTAAATATGAAAAGCAAACTTAATAATAAAAAAAAAAATCATTTTTGGTGCACAGTGGCTGCCCTTTCTTTTATAAGAAATCAAAACAAATAAACTGCATATATCTTTCCATTTTAGTAGCGTGGTTAGCACAAAAATGTCTCTTTTAGAAGTCTGAGTAGAATATTTGAAACCACTTATAGGTGTACTTATTTAATCCTTACCTTTTTTTCCCTATCTTGTATATTTTCCTATCTGAGATGCTTTATTCCATTCTTATACATGAATATATATTCCATTTTCATCCCAACTGCAGTCTGCTGTAACCATAAGCACTTAGACAGGTATGGCCATTGTAGATTGTTCATATAGATTGCACATATTACCCAGTCATAATATCTATGCTTAAAGTTGTTAGTTCATTAATAAAATAATAATTACAAATGAGTGAAAATATTCATTATGCTTATTTTTTTTTTAAAGGGCTGCACAATTGATAAACTTTTTGATTTCCATCTTGATATCAATCTGTACTGCACTGATCTCAATAAATACTGACTTCACAAATCCAAGGCTAATACTGTATCTCAGGAAGGCTCTTATGTGGCTGTCTTTATGCAATGGATCTGCAAAGGCCTTTGACTGAAGACACTGTTGATGTTAAACAGTCTTATGAAGAGGAGGCTCAAGCTTGTTGATGTTGTTTTTTATTTATGAAACATTAATTGAGAAAAAGAAACCTCAAAATTGTGAAGACACGGCCTAGTGATGTATATTTTAACGGATTTGTCCACAAAGGCACAATGGATCTTAAGGTTTGGGTTGGACCTCTTACTTTCTGAGTTGTGACTTTGTTTGGAGTTCGATTTTAAACACCTGATTTGGAGACTTGAAACTAATATTCCTAAGTAAAGATCAGACATATTGTATTTCAACTGCTATTTGAATGGCAAAGCAACTTCCTCTTATTTTCAAGAAGCAGAAAGGATGTTTGTAACTGATAAGGCCAGGTCTCCACAAAAGAGACTTACCATCTTCATCTGTCCGGCATATTAGGGGCTCGCTCTCAGGGCCAGATCCAACCTTTGTTGAGGCAGACACAGTGATGCGGTACTGGGTCCACTTCTCCAGTTGCTGCAGCAACACTCGCTCTTCATTCGGAGGCAACAATGGCTTCTCCACGGGCTCTGTATCATCACTGGCCTCCTCTGAAGGGCTCAACACCTGGTAGTGCACCCTATACCCCGTCAGGTCACCATTCTGACTCGACAGAGGTGGGGGGGCGCCAACTTACCAAAAGGCTAGTGGAGCTGGTGGTGCTGCACTTAATTTCCTGAGGGGGAGCTGAGGGCTCTGGTGAGGTGGAAAGGACAGGAGGGGAAGAAGGAGGGAAAGGGGGCAGCAGAGGATGAGGAGGTTGGGGAAGGAAGAAGGGTGAAAAGCGAACAAATAAAAAGATGGGAGAGATAAAGAAAATGAAAAAAAGGAAAAATCTGAACTGAAACAAACAACAGGAATAGTTAAATAAAACTGGCAACCAAAAACTAAAATATAAGCAAAATAAAAACAAGTACCAAGCAGATGTCAAATTAAAATGCAAAAATGGACAACACCACACAGAAAATGTGATAATGAACCAAGACGGCTACAGTATCTGGTTTTGGTGAAAGTTGGACGGTAAAATCTATCAACATAATTTTATTAAAAGTACCAATAGGACTGGTGTTTGCTGCTGGTTCAACTCAGATATCTTCAAGCTAAATCGTTGTGAAAAATTAGGGATGTTTTGAAATTATAGATTTATTATGTCAGTCAAAAACGTACATTTGATCATATTGACCTGTATCTAAAATATCACATATCAGCCTGCTAATGTCTGATATTTTAGATTTAGATATTAGCTCTATATATGTTTAAAGTTAGTCATTGTATAACAGAACATGGGTCAGTTGTTCTGATACATATAGACAATCATTCAGGGTTGTTCTTTCAGTATTGTCACCGATTAATCCTTTTCTAACATCCCACTGTACAAAATAAGTAATGAAAATATGTATAATTCGGGATGATATATCAGGTCAATGTCCGTATTGGTCAAAGTTAATATCAGTATGTATGGAAAATTACAAAGTTGCATCGAGATATTTCTATGAGATGAGGGTCATTAAAAATGATTCCTATGTTCCTAAAACTAAGGGCAAATTATTATTTACCAAAGCTTTTATCTTTGCTCTACACTCAATGGACACAAAAGTAAAAATAATAGAACATTTTTAATGGAGGGAGAGAGTCCTAATAGATTTTCCGAAGACTATCATAGATCACCAAATTTTTTGGTCAAAGTGTTTTTTGAGATATGATGCATAGTTTTAAAATCCTTAATGTTTTCTGATTTTTTTTTCCCAGCACAGGAGAAATGTGTTTTAGTGTTTGTGCTTTTTTTTTCTATATCCTTCTTCCAACTTTAAAATCCAGTTCATTATTACATTTTATGTAAAAAAGCATTAAAAAACATGTGGTATACAGAACAAGTTTAAATGAAGAACAAAAACAAAGATAAAAAAAAGTTTTCATTCAACAATAAGAGACAATACAGAAAAAAAGTTGTAAAATTAAGAAAGGTAATGTAAGATAATCCTTTAACAAAAGTGTCTCAGAGGGGAAAAATATTCACACCAGACTAAAGAAAACATAAAGTCAACATAAGTCAATCAACATAAAGAAAAAAAAAAAAGAACAGAGGCTCACAAAAAAGACAAAATATACCATCAACAGACAAATAAAAATGAACCACAAGCATTGTCTGTATTATACGTACCTGACTCCCAAAAATATTAAACTTTTAAGACTTTCTTACCAACAGCACCTGACTTCAGAGCGTTCTTACTCTGGAGTCAGGGAGCAGCAACTCTTTCCTTTCCTTTGAGTAAATTTTCAATTTTGTCATCAACTCTTGTTTAAGTTACCTACACAGCTATTTTTATCCACTGATAAAACCGTTTGGACCCACTGTGGGTTGAGCAGGAGTGAGAGAGTTGCTGCTGTGCTGTAGCCAGCTCTGTTTAATACTGTATCGTTGGGCCAGAGGGTCCACAATACTGAGAGGGGAAAGCCAGTGGGGGGAAATTCATTATCTAGATTTTCTACGCTTGTTAACTTGGCCAGGGACAAAAAACATCCTTCCTTTTTGGCAATTTCCTCAAATAAATCCCATTTCATAGCCCTATGTCTATGTATCTTCGAGAAGCTTGCAGCCAGTTTGATAGTGCCAAGAAACAAGACATTACCATCAGCAACATAAAAAAAATGCATAACGGAATTTATAAAACTATAATGAAAATTTTGTAGCCTAATGTAGCTTTGGGGGCACAGCTTTAAAAATACAAAACAAAAACAACTTAGTTTGAATATAAAGATATCTTCCTCTGTAAAACCACACTGTTTATGAGCACAGAAATAAAACGGGGGCATACTCATAGTTCCCAAACACTTTTCTGTGTCCAATGGGCTTATTTACTTAAGGTTTTACTGGATTTGAGCCATGCAGCTTCTTTCCTTTGCCCATATTGTATTTGCAAATTTTCCCCCGCCAAGAATGACTGCATCATTCTCCTTCTTAGTCAAGAAGAAAGGAGCTATAAATCTGACAGGATGGAGGTTATCACAGCACACAGGCATCCCTATCCTTGATAATGATTTAAGTCTGGATTGGGTCAATCCATAGTATCATAGGGAGGCAATTGTTGGGATTATGGACACAAGAACTATGCGTCCACAAAAGAAGTTCCTCAGACACTTTCCTTGAAGTTATCCTAAACTTTCATTGTAATATGTAATGACATGACATATCTGGTCATGTCTGCCATTTTATTCCTCTTCTAGGTATAGTTATATAGCAATAGAGGACAATATTGCTGATCTACAACTACAATGGCTGTGACTCATCGTCGAGTATTAACGTGAACATAAATAGCAAAAGCATTTGCTATTAAAGTCAGAGGACATTTCTGTGTATGGACTGCATCAGAAACCTCAAATGACATGTCTGCTCTTGTAGATCATTACAGAATTAATCCCTGAGACACCAAATGGCCATGGTGTGGCTCACACAGATATTCCAATACGTCTAAAAACCTTGTGCAATTACATTAAGTGGGAGGACTAAACTGCTTGTTTGGTTAAATACAGGGGATTTAGAATCTGCCACTTTAATTTTAGAGATGGCTTTTGACTGGCTACTGGCAGGGTCTAGGTATAATCTAAATATGTAACAAAGCCTGACAATCCCAGGCCTTGGCTCAGACCTCATAGTTGAGCATGAAATTAATTCTGACTCTATGAAATGGGATTCTTATCTGCCACTGTTGAGCCCAGCAGCCCCTCAACACCACCCCCAGGGTCTATCTCAAGTGTTGTTAGCATGTTTTAAAGCTGGCAACAGCTGGAAGGATTCCCCTCTAAGCTTTCTGGTTGTGGACCCTCTCCAGCCATGTCTGAACTGTCATATGAAACTGATTTCAATCTTGTCTGATAATGGTAGCATACCAAATGAGGTCTTACTTCTGTATGGGAGCCGTTTTTAGAAAGAGCATCTTGCAAATTTAATAAAACTGGTTTAATTTTTTAAGTTTTTTGTATCAGTTGAATTGAATTAATTTGACATTAATGTAGACACATTCCTGGATTATTTTAATTCCTTTGGATTATGCTCTTCAAAGTTCCCATTTCAAACCTCAGGTAGTGCTACTTGGACTGATCACAAATTTCAAGATTTGGTAAACATTTTAAGCATGGAAAATAGATTAAACACATTTGAAAAGTAATGTCCGTCTGTCTTTCCACTTCATGGCAAAGAGATTTAGTCTGCCAGGTGCTAGAGGACCCAAAGAAATCTTTAGATTATCTCACAATTCTCAGTAGAGCGAATCCAGGGCTTTGGAAAGATATGATCAAAATTGTGAAGTTTTTGCTGTCTTGAGCATTTTGTACTTTTTAGACTTTTAGTGTTGCCAAACACTTCCTTATATGTTGTTAACTTTCATATCATAACTCGTAAGAAATTCAAGTTAAGCAGTACATTTATTAAAAAGGTAGGATTTGAAAGGTTACGGAACATCCTTTTTGCTAAAATGAAATTTTGATCCTGAAGAGCTTCAGGATGATTTCATTCATCAGATTTATTTGTGTTGTTGACACAAAGCAACGCCAATCTTTAAACTGTGATATTAAGCTTAAGTGTACTTGTACTTTGGTTTCCTCAATTGAACAAAACAGGATTCGATTATTTGCAAGATAAATACAAACAAATTAAAGCTACTGAACAGCAGTAGCAGCCACAACAAACTGTTCAAAGTTGAACACTTGTTCATTATCTCATAAAGGGAAATGTAAGAATGTACTTCTCTTCAGTTCGTGAGTTCAAACATTAGCAATGAATTTAGGGAAACCACTGAACGAGACACAATGATGGCAGTTCTTTGTTTTTAACGGTGGTCAGAATAATTCATTGCATTTGTATGTTGAATGCACCTAAACAAAATAAATATAGTTTTATGAGAGGGAAAACTGTTAGTTTCAAAAAACAATTACTTAATTGTATCTCATTGTATAAAAAGATCTATTTGTTGAGAGAAATCCAACTTTAAAGAACATGGCAGACTGAATCGCTAAACCAAACAACCACTTACCTCAAAGCATCCAAAAGATCAAGTTATTCTTAATAGTAAATGTTTAGTTTGTCTGGCTTTGTCTGTGAATATTCTGACTTTAGTGCTAGAATGCTAATGTGATGTTAGGGACCGCTGTTTTGCAGTGAACCTTCAATGTACAAGAAAAAGATGGGTTTGAAAAACAAACAATGAGAATCAGGGTAAAATAATGTAAATAAAATGGATTGATAAGTAACCTTGCCTGTTTACTTCTTTGTTATGACACATGTTATGATATAGAAATAGTCTCATATTAAGCAAGACTTGACTTGAAACCCATCATATTTGCTCAAAAGCCCATTCTCCCAGTATGTATGCCTCAGCTAACTTGCTCTGTAGTAAAATAAGTGCACAGTATGAAAATACTGCTGAAAGATACAGGTGAGAGAGATGTGTCAAATTATTAATATTTAAGGTAAAGACTTAACTGAATAAAGAGATAAATACAAAGATCTGTATTTATAAAAAAAAATAAAATAAGAAATGAAACATAAAAAGAGGGACTCAAGTGAACAAGGTGACGCCAAGCCATTCCAAGAACAATTTTAGTTGTAATCCACAAGGAAAAAGTGACAAAGAGAGGGACCGAACTGGAGGAGAGTGATGAAGGAAGAGGGACAGAAGGAGGAGGGATGTTTTCAACTCTGCTTGCACTTTACAAATGCAAAAACAGGCAAGAATATCACAAACACACACAGACTTGTGGATATATGTGCATACACTAAAGAATTGCCAAGACAGAAATGGGGGTGGAGAAAGATGTTTTTTTTGTTTTTTTTCATGCATGGAGGAATCAAAGATTGTTAGTTCAGTGATAGCTGCCCAACAGCACCCCGAGTGGGCAGTAGTGAGTGTCACATGCAAGTGGAGTTCTTGGCAGTAAAACTGCACTTTCTGTGCAGGAACAAAAAAGAGCTGTGAATTGGTTGTTCCAAAGCCCCCACGCTCACATGTCGAGGCACAGCCAACAAGTTGCACTGGTAGAAACAGAAAATGTGTTATAGAAAGTCTGCTCCCACCACCAAGGCTTGCCTATGTCACTGTTGAAGATACTCTGCTTTAACTTTCCAAAAATAGGCCAAAGTACTGTCAGTGTAGTAAAGCATTGCAGTCTCTCATGCACAATGCATTTTTCCATGTTGCTTTGTCACAGTAAAAATTTACATTGTTGAATGTAGTAATAATCTCAGTAAATCAGGCATTTTTTATGTACTATACAGTGAAATAGCAACTAGTCAACATTTACATTAGGCTTTGAATGGCATTTAAACCCTGAAGAAGTTGCACCTAAATGTCTTGTTATTTCAAATGCAGTTATTATAATCTACATCGATATTACAGAATATTGATTTAATTTAAGCTGTTTCCAGTCTGGTGGTCAAAGGACCCAATCAGATCATCTTAAGGGGACTGTTATTTTTAAAAGCAAACTGCTATACTGATTTGTACCAACATTCCCTTGATCTAAATCTAACCTTAAGACTATCATGTAAATCTGACTTGGTACAATCAACTGTCAGTAACCAGTTTTTTATACTACTGGACACCATATGTTGTCACAAAGGCATCATTTTCTTTTCCTTTATTACAAAGTGTGTGGTAAAAGAGGAGAGAATAAGCTAAAAAAAAACTGGCAAATGGTCTAATAACTGAGGTTTCTTAGTTATTAGGTATCAGGTTTCTTACCAGGACTTTTAATCAGCCTAGCGGGAATAGGGTAACCTGGCATAAGTGTAATTCATGATTATTTCAATGGTGCAACTGAAAATCCACCCGTAGAACGTGTTTGCAAAACGGAGGGACATTAAGAACAATGCTTTGAGCTGATTGGGTTCCTGCTTTCAATCTCCAGGTTTAAGCCAATCACAGCAGCAGTGCCAACAACACATATTAAATTCTTGATTTGTTTCACAGAATTACCTAATGATTCAAATTGTTACTGTGAGGAAAGTGCAGACATCTTTCCGTCCACAAAGGTAAAAATGGCATCCATTTGCTTGTTTTTTTCAAAATGGAAATAGTTGGAATTCCAGCTGAAACCGGCTCAGTTATGTCTATTTTCAGCCTTCTGCCTCTGGTTGATTCGTTGATGTCATGTACATCATTGCACATAGTCTTTATTTTTGTGCAATTTTGACAACTTTTAGTGCAACCAGCCATTGTGCTTAAATGCGCTGAACAGAAGGAGAGTATGCCAAGACTGTCAAAGGGCTGATATGCTCATAAAAAAACCCTGAATCGACCTAACTTCAGTGCAGCAGTGACAGCCTGCTCAAAAGTCCTGGAGAAAACCCTGGTTTGGTGCTGACACATTTTTCACTTCTTTCTAAGTAGCAACAATAAGTATCATTATTTAAAGTTTGAACAATAGTTCCCATAAGCCCCTATCTTACTTATCTTTCATCTGTTCTCTAATGTTCACCTTCCATAAGTTCTGACAGGTGGAATACATTTTGCTCTATCTTTTGTCTTTTTTTACTCCAACAACATTAAATCAAAAATGTACAGTTCATATGAGAGCCCTGGTGGTCTTTCAGGAGAAGTAACATTTTTTGTGTCTTGTGGGATGTGAACTTGCTGTCAACAAAATAAAAATAAACCATTAACCAAAGTAAAAGAAAACAAAAAACACCAAATATACACCCACCCACAACAACTTAAGTTTAAAATGGCAGAGTAAATATGTACATATATCTTCTGTGAGAAAGTTAAGAAATTAAGACAAAAGAATAAAAGATTTTATATAAATATGCTTTGCACCTAACAGGGACTTAACCAAACTAGATTTTTCTTTTTTGAGTAACTTTCAGATTGGACAAAGGCTTATTACAATCGGAACGTTTTTCCAAAAAGTAAAAAAAACAACCCACTGGACTTTGCTTCCACAGTCTTGCTTAGGAAACTTGCAGATTATAAGAACCATCTTGATTTCAATTTAAGATATAGAAAGCAAAGACTCATTCTATTTAAACTTGTAAACCAAAGTCCAGTGAATTATTTATTTTTTACTTTTTTTTAAATGACTATGATCGAGAATCTTCACCAGCAAATCTGGAACGTTTGCATTCATGAAGACGGCTAAGAAAAAGAGATACTGTAGCGCAGCTTTACAAACCTTTAATGCTATGATATTTGTTTGTTACACTGTTGGCTTCAGAAATTCACTCACTGCACATCTAGAGCTGATAGAAACATGCATTACAGTACAGTTAAAAGTAATAATAATTCAGAATACTAGATAAATGCTATGCCATCTTGGAAAATAAGTGGTTATTACTTAAAATCCATTGCCATTTTAGCCTGATTTGCCAAATTACTTTTGGGTTCGCTGAATGAGCACAGTTCATGGTGAGTGCTGCATATTTTTTTAAATGTATGTTCCACAAAAGGCTGGTTTATTTTTATAATTAACCATGTGTTATAATTGCAGTTAATGCACATCTTGTGCTAAACTGTCAATTTGGTGTTAACTCAGATATACGTAACTGTACTCAAACAATCAAAAGTAAAGTGTTTTAGCAATATGTGTGATACCAACTTCCTGTGGTTGAAATAAAGTTAAAAGAAGAAAAAAAACTACCCTTAAGACCCTTGTTTTTGATTCAAATTTCTGTGCACAGAATTTAATTAAAATGTTCCTTTGGCCTCATATGCATTACTTCGACTGCAGTTCTACATAAAGTAAACATTTATTAGAGTAATGCAAACCTTAAAGAAGTTCAAAAACATCAGATAAACACAGTCAGAAAAATAAATCAATATTAAATGGTATCCACAAGATTCAATTTAGTAATTATTTCCAGTTTAACATAGCTATAACCAAATGGCTAAAAGGAAAACAGGAAAAATTGTAAACTTTAGACGAAAGAACAGGAAAGTAAAACAACATAAATTCAAGTAATTTTAGTTACGGTCCATAAAGAAGGAAGAATCATTGTTTTGTTTCTGTAACAAGAGTTTCTTTTGTTAGCAAAACTGAAATAAAAGGAGAAGATCAAATAAAAGGCTACATACTGGCTTGCAAGGTCCTCTCAGAAATTTCATTTGTGAAGGCCCCAATGCCTTTGTTTGAGATGGCCGCCAGGGAGAAGCGGTACTCTGTATTGGGGCGAAGGCCTTCCAAAACATATGATTTTGTGGGTCCAAATGTTTTCTTCATCTATTAATCAAAATATGAAAATATAAAATGATTAACACAAACATATTCTTTTAACATGACATTGAAAGCTTTTGTGAGACAGAAAATCAAATATGACACTTGCCTGCGTGCCAAAATTGCTTTCCCTATAACGAAGTTCATAACTTATAATTCCTTCTTTCTCATATGCGGGTTCCCAAGTCAGTTCAATTCTAGTGTCTGACACGGCACCCACCTGGAATTTGGATGGTTGACCTGGAACTGAACACAAGTGAGATTACATTTTAAGAATTGGGATTCAAGACAATAAAGCTGATAGAGTTTAAACTAGGGTTGTCACGATACTAAACTTTTCAACTCGATACTAATACTAAGGAAAATATTCGATACTCAATACCATTTTCGATACCACAAGAATAAAAACTCCAAATTTCAACAGAAATATTTTGATTAATAATTAAAATACAATAAATAAATACAATAAATAATAAGAACAATATTTAAGTTTAGTCAAGAAACAAAAATAATTCTCAGTGTTCAGAAAGTGCATTTTCCTTTATTCTGCACTTTAGATGAATGACGAATGATGAATGTAGCACTGTATCGATACTTTTTTGAGTATTGTATCCGGAAACAACGTTTCAGTATCAATACTTTTTTGAGTATCTATACTTTTGACAACCCTAGTTTAAACCATGATAACCAGTAGCTAAGTTTCCAAACAATGATATTCGAATAATGCAAGTTGGCAAATACACAGGCAGTTTGATTTAAAGGAAATCTAAGATTAAGTATAGTCACAAAATAATTCCACAGTAGTTGTAACAACTGGACATAACGCCAATATATGCCTTATCACATTTGATCCATCCAGGGCTGTACTTTTACGTTTCATAGCTCACCTGATTTATCAGAACAAAAGGCTTTTCTTCCCTAACTATGCCCATAAAAGAGTCTTGTGGGCCACTTACTCTTTTGCCTGTTCACTCCTGTTCCTTATTCAGATAATTTTGGAAAGATGGCTAATAGATTTCTAGCAAATGGAATGTGTCTGTTGTCAATCAAAGTAAATCTAACATTTTTGCTTCTTTATGAAGTGTTTTAATTGTGCCTAATAGAAACTACCAACCTAAATGAGCCATGATCCAAAGATGGTCAGTGCTGTTTACCTAACACACACACACACACACACACACACACACACACACACATATATATTAAATGCCAGTATTAAATGCCAAACAACTACTCAAATCCTTACCTCCCTGCAGTACTTTCACATGAATGGGCTCAGAAAAAGGTCCATCACCAACGGATGTGAATGCCAGAACTTTGATAGTGTATGTCTCTTGAGGAATTAGGCTCTGAATGGTGGTGATCAGACTGTCCTGGACATTATGGATCTGCCAAAGGCTCATGGGCTGTGCATCATCCATAGTGTAGTAAACTCGGTAGCCCTTGATCTGCCCATTAGGTTCCTCGGGTTCTTCCCATTGCACCATCATGGTGTTTTGGGGAAGAATTTGCGCCTTAATGTTTCTTGGAGGACTTGCTGGGGCTTGCTCGCCAGTTCGAGTTTCAACTGGTTCACTGGGCGGACCTTGTCCAATTGAATTCACTGCCGAGACACGTATTTCGTATTCTGTATTTGGGTAAAGGCCGCCAATGCTATAACGTGTGGTAGTGATGTCATCAACAGTTTCGTATTTGCTGTCTGGTGACTTGGCTCTATATTGTATGATATAGTATGTCACTGGGTCTGGGTTTCCTGAGTCCCAAGTAATGGTCACACTGGTTGCTGTGGTTTCGGTAACCACAGGGGTACCTGGAGGCTTGGGGAGAGCTGGTAAGGCAAAATAGCAGGACAGAGAGAAAAGGTATTGATTTATGATCATTCTATAAATTTGAAGCAAATGCAAACATTAACCAACTAGCTTTGTTCAGTAAACCAAGAACAAGAATAACTACAACCTACATTTTCTATGTATATCGTACATTCTTCACAAATTCAGTTATCACTCACATTTGACGGTGATCTGTGCAACAGCTTCAATGATGCCAAGGCTACTCATCGCCACGCACGTATAGTTGGCTGACTCACGTACACTGCTCAGTTCAAGAACATTTCTGCCAACTGGCATCTCGTCGTCTGGTGTCAAGTCCTCAGAGTTCAGCATCCACTTGACATAAGGCATGGGGGACCCTACTGCCACGCAAGTTATGTTCACACTGCCACCTGGCATTATCTCTTGACTTGTTGGTAGAATGGAGAAGCGAGGAGGTACCCGCCGGACTGGGAGAAGGCATGAGAAAAGGGAAAGGATGACAAAAAAGGGCAAGGAGTCAAAAGGAAGAGAAAAAAGATGTAACAAAAGAAGCAGATGAAGATGGGCCTTTCTCAAGTAATTACATAACACAAATAGTTCAACATGATAAATGTGAACTTGAACAAAAAATATAAATAAAACTAGACTTAAAAAAACAAAAAAGTAACAAATAATGGGAAATAACTAAACTAACAGAATAGCTTCAGCAACAATATAGATTAACAGTTAAGCAACAATTCATAGCAACAAGGTTCCATTGACCAATATTTGACCCATCACAGCACAATTAAAGACACAAAAATCTATTACGAGTTTCTCATCTTTGGGGGCTGAACTTCTAACACAGAAAACTATAGCACTACCTGATCGCAAAGTCGTAGAGTAAAATAGTAGTAAGGGCCATGTGATAATTCAATCACATAAGCCCAACCCGGCAACCTGGAACTTCCTGTCCTCACAGACACACATGCCAAACAGGAAGTAGGCCATTGCAGGCTTCTCCCACAGACCAGGAAGTGTAGGGTTACTGAACTAGTGACCATCTCTGTAAGGTCTAACCAAATTCTAGAACACATTTGCAGTGAACACCTGGCTCTTCTTTCTAATTGTCTTAAAGATGAGAAACTTTAATCAGATTTTTGTGGTTTAGGGTAGATCCACTGGACAAAGCCTTATTAAGATCTGACACGGTTCCATTGATAGATGCAGCTATCAGTTTCACAGACAGCATGCATAAATAGATCGAGGTAAATCAAGGAGTAAATGATAACAAAATCAGATATAAAACTTGAGATAAAATGCATTGAGGAATATAACTGAAGGGTCGCTAGCATGCCCAGACAAGACGATTGGAGAGGAGAAATAGTACGAGGTAGCAGAAATAACATCGTAGGAAAGGATAGTAGGAGAAAGAACAGTGCAGTCAGGAGTGACAGAGGAAGAAAAAGAGTAGGGAAGGTTGGAAGAGGGGTAAAGGGAGGCAGGGGGTAACCCGTTTTACTGCTGTGTAAACTTTTGCTTTTCTTCAGCTAATGTGACAAAATGTGATGATTGCACATTGTCACATCGCAGTCTTGGTTAACACAAAATAGGTATTGAGGAACAAGGTGTGTGCCTAAAAATACACAGAAAAAAAGCGCTCTAGCCACTGTAGGTAGGAAGCTAACTATTACACAGTGTAGGAGTAAAGAAACAGAATTGGATCAACAGTGAATAGAGTTTTAGAGAATAGGAAGGAGAGATGGAAATAAAAGAGAAATGGATACCAGTACGAGAGGAAGACAGTTATAATTTCTGAAGATATGGAAAGGGACTGGATTGAAGAGGGAGGATTATAAACTTGAGATTCAGAGGAGGGACGTGACGGGTGCAGAGTACTTATATGTGTGCATGACTATAGATATATAGTTTTTGCATTGGCGTAGGCATGAGTTTGCGTGTGTACAGTATGCAAGAGCTATAAAGTGAAAGAGTATGATTCTGCAAAAAACTGATTGAGAAAGGCATCCCAGCAAGCACATTACATTGAAGCGTTTACACATTGATCTGTCCTCTTCTTAAAAATATGTTTTTTGGTTTAGTTTCTAGACGTTAGGGAAATGTTGAAAGCGTATACCAATTCAAAAGCCTGGTTAGGTAATATAGTGTGCTACTATATAGGTAGGCTAAATGTCCAAAATATATATACATTTTTTTTAAAATAAACAACAGAGAAAGGAACTATTTTGATTCAATGTCATAGTGTTTGTTGGGATGCAAAGGTCAAAAGAGAGAGTGAAGGTAGTGAATACACAGAAGAAAACATGATGAAATAAATGTAAAAGATGACTTTAGAGACTGACAAAACAAGGAAGAAAGAGAGACAAGACACGAGGCAGAAATTAAAATCAAACAGACCCAAGCAGCAAGACAGCAGACAAGACAAAGGGAAATGGATTGACAAGCGGACATACTGTACAATACGCAACAAGGGAAGGGAAAGGATTGGGGTGTCGGAAAAGGGGGGAGGAGGAGAAGGAGCATATAAGTGGGGGATAGAATAAGTAACTATGATTATAAATAAAAAAAGAACCAGAAAAAAAAAATCATGGCTCAAAGTTGGTTTGGAGGTCTCACACACTGGGGCTTAAAATCAAGAATTCGGTACATGTTCCTTTCTTACCACCTTAAACTTTGCTACTACAAAGAAATGGATCTTCAAGATTTGGGGCAGGAGAGTATAAGGTAGGACAAAGTAGGGGTAAAGGGAGTGATCAGAGGGAAAACTGATAGGAGTGAATAAGGTAAAATAAGACCTGAAAAAACAAGTGTCGATCCAAATGGGATTCATGTTTGGGACAAGCGGATTTGTCCACAAAATTAAGGCAGAAATAATGTAAAACGCCAACTCAGGGATTTTCTTTCACCTGAGCTGTGCATGCAAAGCTCAAGTTTGATAGATAACTGCAGTTACAAAGTAAAAAGGCTCAAGTGGGTAGCATTGCTGGTCTTGGGTTTTGGATATGTTTCTAGACTACCCTGCATGCAGTCGCTGTACTATGCACTGTTAATGTCCACTGCTTTTTTACTCTAGGGATAAAAAGACCTGAACTGAAGGGTCAAAAGTTCATAGTTGACTTTTTAAAAAGGGTTTTATTTCGCAACAGAAACTATTTAATATAGTAAATGTTCTATGGAAAAGGTTGTTCTAAATTCAATAATAGCTTACTTGAGATACTTTTTTTTCCGATTATTTCTTTAACAAACAATGGCAAAAATCCGTCTGGGAGAGTGGGGAAAATAAATTTATATTCCTGCTTTATTGTTTGATAAAGCATATCTAACTAACCAACAAAGGTGATAGTGCAGCCCATTCCTCACACAGACATGCATGGGTGTGGCTATGGCATGAGTGACGTAGAACGGTGCACCCTCATACGCTTGGGCAGAACACCGGAGGACCAAAACAATTCAGAAAATGTCACCCAAGCCCATCCAAGCATGCCATTTATGACTGAATATAGCATTTTTCGAGACACACAGACTCACAAAATCAAATCAAATGAAAGGAAGCAAATGAAACTGAACAAATCCACAAATAGAACTACATCCGAACAGCATAGACAGTACCAGAGTGCAGCTGTGTTCACAGAGGTTTGAAGCAGTATAATTAGATGTTTTTCAGCTTCTATTTGTCTTGAGAATTTATCTTCCAATTCAAAATGTTTGTGGTAACTGAACATGACAAACATGGTTGTTTTAGGGGAAACATTCAATCCAAGTTTATCTCAGGGTGATCTTCTCTCCCTGGGGCTCAGTTCAGCCAATGGACCGGGAGCTGAAGTGGTTAAGTGAATGAGGTTTCCCCATAGGACAATGTCTCGAACCACCTTTAAAAACATACAATGTGGAAATCTACTCTAAATGAGCTAATAAACATTGATAATTAGGGAATCGGGAAAATTAGATTAGTTATTTCTTTCATCTTTAGACATTCTGACACAAGGAAACCAAAAATATCAGTGTCTAAACACCAGGACAAATGGAAATAGTATTCCGCTACTAGAGTAAAGTACTACATAATATCTCCATCAGAAAACCAAAGTGTTGTATATGAGAATAGTGTGGTGTGAATATCTTTTCACATTTTTGCCTTTAGAACAAACTGATTTGATGTTTTAAAACTGTTATTTTGCCTAGGAAACAGTTTCAACAATTCAACAATTGAAAATTAAAATGTCATACAACCTCAAACCTAAACCTTGTACCCCAAGCATGAAGGTTGTTCAGTTTTAAGTGCATGCTCAATGCTGCCTGATTTTGTTGGGTGCACTACAGTACCACGCAAAGAGATGAGATCGTTACTACGCATTTTGGGTCTCATTTAGTTTTTTTGTGTGGATATTTATTGAAATGCCCCCTAGTTTATAAGAATGCTTTTCAGAAATGACAAATGCTTTTAAAAAGCTTTTTGTCCTTTACCTTTGCCTAAGCTTAACATTAACAATCATCGTAAGAGGAAATTAAGGTCACTTTAAATTTAGAAATCAATACCTCGCGAAAATAAATTACCAAACTTTAACAGGACTTCAGTCAGCTTGCAGTCTGCTATCTTGATTTTCGCAAATGACACCCTCATTGCTACAAAAAAACAATAGACAAAGAATCCCAATTGCATGGACACACTCCTCATTCACAGAGACCAAGAGCCCATCCGGCCCATTTGGAATTAAGAAAAAAGAAAAGGAAAATCCACATTTTATGTGGTCAATGACAATATGTAGCCTTTTTTAAGCCCCGATGTGGAGAGAAAGACAAGAAGCCGTACACTGGACAATGTGAGAAGCAGTTGAGAGAGAAGGCCAGAGTACTTCACTAACTCTTATATTGGCATTGATGTGGAGGCATTTATGTCCGAAAACAGAGGTCAGAAGGTTGACATTAATGTCCGTTAATGTGAGGAAGATTTTGCTGCCCTAAAATGAAGGGGGAAGCCAAAATAATGTGCAGCCTTTAGTGTCACCTTGAAGCTGAGATTACACCCTCTTGCTGCTTGAGGACGCAGACACAGTATGGAGATCCTTTAGTCATACCTGCAGGGTGGGTCCTACGGCATTTACATTTAAGCTGCAGGGGTTTGACTGTATTAACATACCTTGGCTGTGCCTGTGCTAAACACTCCCTATGGGTGGTCATCAAAATGGAAATTAGTACCTAAAGGAAACTAACAGGAATTTCAGAGTGTTTATGAATTCTGTTGTCTTTACAGGTACATGACAAGCAGCCAAACTATACTGCAAGTACATTCCCCCATTCATGTTAAGAATTAAAGGTACATGCCAAGACAGTTAGAAAGTTAATTTGCAAATGTGATAGTGAGGCATGTGTTTTTAATGGAATATCAAGTCACTTCTGTCACCAATAAGGAATTTCTGGGCTGTGTAAGGCAAACATCTAACAGTGATGGCGGAGATTTGCTTTGGCCAGTGAGAAGACAAGGTGTAATCTAGCTTTCTTTCCCAACATTACATACAGAGGCCTAGCAAGACATGCAATCACATTCACAAACAGGCAAGTATCATAGTAGGAGAGCATGCACATGCATATACAAACAGCACAGTCTTTCTGCATCAGTGCTTCTTTCTTGAGCTACGTATAGAATTAAGTATTTATATGTTTGTGACCTGGTGATACTAAAGGTATGAAAAAAATCGAAAGTAGCTGGAAAGTTGAGAGAAAAAAGGCCACTGCTCTGACTGCAAACCATATGAAAAATGTTTTTTTTTTATTCTTTCCACATGAAAACATACATATTTTATAAGGCAAGGTAATTCAAAATCTAATTGCATCTACTCACTGTAAGCTACACATTACATTCTTTTTTTTGATACAAGGCATTTTTATTCCATGAAATTCCAGAGAATTGAAGGTTTTCATTTCCAGGGCCCTGTAAAGCCTGTGTGTAACGATATACTAGTAATGATATACTATTAGCAGCTCCTTTGACAAAATAATAGCTAGGTATTTTCCCTAAGAAAATATTCAATGCAGGTGTCATATTGGGCTAAATCCAACATATATTGCATGATTAATTTGAGTGTTATAAGCAGGATTTTTCGAATTGTAAGTGTAAACAGTGCTTTCATCAAGTAGCTACCACTATCTTACTGAAGACTACTAATTTTCAAATATCTTAAAGGAAATAACTGAAGGTAAGAAAGACTTCAAAAATAAGTATTAGCATATAAAGCTCACCTTTCCAGTAAACTGACTTTTTAAATACCCATAAAACAGGATGATCTGAAAATCTAATCACATGTAGTAATTTGTGCTATAGTACAAACATTATTAACGTTGAAGCACAAAGAAAATTCAAAAGTCTCTGTAAAGTGCCTTAATATGGCATGTGTTGGGAATTGGGCCAATATAAATGAACTGTTTTACAGTATGCTCATTAAAAATTGATATTTTCTATGACTTTAGACATATACATTTAGAATTTTATTCACCAAATTAAATTTTTGCAATGCACTTGTTTGTCTTAACAATACATCGTGCAGCTGAAATCAACAAATACAATTGGCAAAAAAAAACCAAAAAAAAAAAAAACAGATATATCCTAAGTTGCTACTTGGCAGCACTAAATGCAATATTAGGGACACAATATTGTTATTGATCTGCACAACATTGTGAATGACATCTGTTAAGGCCTACCTAAAACCAACAAGGAACCTTACCAGGACCAATGTGGTCTAATCTTTCCAGTAATGAATAATCCTAGAGTAGATGGCAGGAACACTGGCTGTATACACATTTATCAATTCATAGGGCATAGGCATTCACACTTCGAGTGTCAAGAAGCAGAGCAGAATCAGATTGAGAAAGGAACAAGAATCTCACCAACTAATGAACCACAAAAACAAACATAAAAAAACACTAAACAAAACAGAATAAAAACATACTGCACCATACTCACAACACAGAACTAACTCAAGGAAAGGTAAGCCAAAAACAGGGTTGTCAGGAAATAAAACATTTTTAGAAAATCAAATAAACAAGAAAATAAAAAATAAAAAAACAGAAGAGAGAATGCAAACAACAAACACTGGGGCCAAAGGGGTTCTGCACAGGCATGCAAGCGCAGTTACATTCTCCCATCAAGCAACAGGTCCTGTTATGTTCACATGCTGGGTTTCCATGACAACACATGCAAGAAAAGCTTTTAGGTGCAGAAGCAATACCGAAGGATGCATAACGTGAAAAGGCCCCACAATGCAAACATAAAATTAAATTAACAACACCCCAACTAGCCGGGGTTTGCTTTCATCATTTATTTGTAAATTAGGAAAACAAAAAATTTTTTTTAATTATTTTACAGCTTGGATTAACTGTATTTATTTTTGTTTTTTTTTTTCTTTTGGGTTTTTTCTCAGATTAGTAATTAATCGAGCTCTGCAAAAGTCAAATAACAGCTAAATATTTTCAAACATGTTGATTGCTTTTTTCAAATGTGGGTTAAAAAAAGTAAAAAAGAAAAAACACACCAACCTTCTCGAAGCTCTGAGGGATGTAAAGGGGTTGATGCAGAACACAATGACATGAGGAGAAGAGAAAAATAGGGGAAACACAGAGAGAGTAAAAAAAGCCACCTCAAGGTGTTTAGCTGCAGCTACATGACCCTTTCCTTTCTTCTTTCTTTTTTTCCCCATTACCTCTGTCCCTGTCATCAGTGACATCCGTCTTCAAGTACACTTGCCTACCCTCCCCTTTGAATAAACTTTGAACCAAAACAATCAGATTCACCCCAGTGGTTCCTCTGGTGTCTGCTAAGGAAAAAGGATTGAGACGCCACTGGAGTCAATTCAAGCGAACTATACTCATAATTTCAAATTTCACAAGTCCTTTATGGCCACAATGAGAAGCTCCTATGGTGGCCACATTTCAAATAGTTGGAGAAAGAAACCAAATAAAGAGAAAATAAAGAAAAGTAACTAATGAAAGATTGAAAAGAATAAAAGAAAAAGAAAAATCAAAAAGACACAATTCGGTAGGAAATTAGCAGCTGCAGTTCCAGACTGGTAAAAATGAAATCTTCTAAAAAGCCAATCAGTAAACACTGTCATTAAGGTTTGGGAATGAGTACTGTTCGCTTCAGCACCCGCATGCCTCATTTTTATGTTTCTCTTCCCTATTAACAATCACCCTCCACCACAGCTGCTAATCTCAAGTGCATTTTGGTTCGTGAACAAAACATAGTCAACATCAAGTATCAGAATTAATTGACAAAAGTTAACTGAAAACAAATAAAGGCCGACACCATCACAGCATAATATTTGTGTTACATAGTGTTAATGCATTGGAGTCCTTTTGAAACTGGTGTGCTTTTAAAAAAGCCTGCTCGTGGAGCCAGTGTTTATAGTAATATTCTGCTTAGACCAGTATTTCAACGTTTAATATTTGGGTATATAAAAAAATGCCAAGATCTGGGCTTTATAACTCTATGCTGATAACAGATGTTTTATAACAAGTTGTCAAAAATACTTGTGGACAAAAAAAAGTGCAGAGGTTCTGTTTCGATTCAAAAGTATAATACATATCTCCTTGCATACATAACACAATCTGTTATAGAAGGGGGGGGGGGGGCTTCCCCAAGGCGATGATCTGCATGGACCACCAATTCATACAGCCAACTGACATTTCTGCTGAATCACATTTATAAGAGCTTGAGCCTCTGGTAGGTTTATTGGCTCTCTTGAAGAACCATTTTCATTTTACCTTCATCTCCCTATAGTAGAATCTCTCTTCTCAAAGCATCTATTTTACAGAGTCTGATGATAGCAATAATGATGAAAAAGCAGTTCCCTGACCCATTTTATAATGTAGGAGTAGTGAATTATTTATTGGGAACAAAGTTATTTGGTACACAGCAGAGGGAACAAACAGAGTAGATACCGAGGCATCTTTATTTAATATGCACAATATAAATAATACATGCCGAAAATGCATGTGCTTCAATTTATTAAAGCTCCTTCGACAGGGATTTATTGTCATTTAGCATTAGTAGTGGTGGATAGGCTTTTGTCTTTATTGTCTATTTAATATGAAACCATTCCCTCTGACTGCTTTTGAGAGAAACAAAAATTATATATATATCTTCATTTTGCTGGAACATATCGCCAAAAATAAGTATTGTCTGTAAAATCCTTTAAAGATAATACACCAAACTAGAAACAGATTTGTGCTCCAGTGCTGTGCGTTAAATACAGAGCTATTTTACTGTATTATAAAGGCAAATACCTCTGTTTTTCTCCCCAAAACTGGAAAAGGGAAAAAAAGGGGGGAATGATTTTGATTGCTGGGCAATATTACCTAGCCACTCAATCAAAATCAACACTTACCGTTGTGCTCCTTTACCTGTAAAACACTCATCAAAAAAACCAAAACACAACAACAACAAAAAAGATGTCCAAACTCTTATGATTTCAAATTAGATGCGGTAGGGAAACATCTGGTTGGGCAAACAGTTAACAGATCAGAGGTCTTTTACAACTGATGACGTAAAGACATACGGCTTGTTGGGCTATACATTTCCTTCCGAGTGAGTAGGGGAGGGCATTGGAAGACAAAATGGAGCATCATAACAGAGAAGAACATTAGTTGGTCAACGATAGATTTACATTTGGAAGTTTCAGTGCATGAGAACAATTATGGGAATGCGTTAAACATAAATGATAGAAGAGCTATACTCCATGGACATTACTTTTGCTAAGTATTTTGTGCATACACTGATAGATTAAAATGTTTAACTGCAGCAATTATTTTTTTAACCTCAACAATACCAATTAAAGATGAGTTGTACTGTGAAGACAATTCAGTTGGAATAGAAACTACTTAATGTTTTTGTTCTTGTTTTGCCTGGCTCTGCATTCTGGTTGCTTCCTACCTCGCACATAAAGATTAGCAGGGGAAGAGTAGCGCACGCCTTCCACATTAGACGCCACGCACTCATACTTCCCCTGGTCCAACTCCTCGCTGTTCTCGATCTGCAAGGCACCTGAGGAAAGACAACATCCAACAAAGAACAGGCAGGAAGGGGGACAGAAACGGAGAAAAGAGAGAAAGAAAGCAGAAAATAAATGATTAGTTCATCTAACTGTAAACATGCATAAAATAACTTCTCAATGCCATGTCATCAACTACAACTGTCCCCTGCAACGCTGACAGTCTGGCATGACTAACACAGCTCCACTCAGGCTTCCGTAATCCCTTGACAAAATGTTAAAGACATCAAACAAACTAAATCTGTCATTGTGGCAATTTTTACATCTTAAACAAAAAAGAGCTACAGAATAACAACATTTTGTTGAAATTATTGTTTTATATCACTCAGTCTTTGAAAAAAAAAAATATTTACCAGCAATAGACATTTTGATTGAGTTTTATTGGCAAACCATTGTGTGATTGCAGTGACAGTTAGTTTCGCAAAGTATTGGCCCTGGTATGCTAACCCCCCATACTTTTCAGATTTGTATTTGCTATAATTCAATTCAATTCAGCTTATTTCTATAGCGCCAATTCACAACACATCACTTTACAGTTCACCACATCGTACAGGTTCAAACTGATTCAAAGTTTTCTACCTAAGGAAAACCAGTTGATTGCACCAAATCACTGACTCGAAGGCAATCACTCACACTAAGCATGCTTTTAGCACCAAGCCTTGTACTGGTACACTGATGGTGGGACACTGTCAATGTTCAGAATTTTAAATGTAGGTATGGGATATAAACTATAATTAATAGCAGACTAAACCTCTGCTAAAGCACCATTTCATCCTAAGCCAAACACCGCAGTAAGCCAAGGTAGATGCGTCAAAATCATCTATTATTATGAGAAATGAAAGTCCAAGGCAGATTTAAAATGGAATTTGGCATCCTGCAGTAAGCAAACAACAGAAAACTGCCTCTTTTCTTTGCATATTGCAATGCCCTTTTGTCCAAAACATTGCATTGTAAAGTATAATACAGTGATGTATTTCTTTATTTTTCCTGGGGGGGGATGGGTGCATGCATTATGCACACGCCAACTATGCTAACTACATAGAGAAAAAAAAAAACATGCATCAGAAAACAAATAAAATACAGGGTAAATGTGGTCGCCATAGATGTGAGATTTCAATTCCAAGGACTTTCGAAGGTCTCCCATGGATTTTTTTTTCAACTCACCTCCCTTCTCTTAACCAGTTTGGGTATCCTTTACTTTCTAAAAAAAGATAACCACTTCATGCAATCTAACTTCTTATCTTTTTGTTATTGATGTCTTGTATGTGAATCACTAACAGCTGGAACTTGGGGACAGGTTGCAGAGAATAAAATAGAGAGGTGAAACACCAGGATCATTCCTCGTTAGAGTGCTGTTGACGGCACTTCCTGATGATATCATTAGGGCCTCTGGCTGGCTCACTAGACAGATTGTAGCCTGGGACAATCTGACAAACACAACAATAGCATCGCTTGTTAACGTTTATCCAGGAAGCATCAATATGCCAGCAGCTGCCCCGAAAGCTTTGTAATATACTATAACCCTTCTGAATCACATCTGCAAGTGAACACAATGTTGTACAAGGCCACCACTCTGGAACAGTGTTCAAATAACACGTTTCAGCTCATCCACAAATTAGACAATCGATCCTGGTTAATTATAAAGATTAGTCACGCTTTCAGTCTGTTCCCTGCCTAATAGAGAAAAGAGTATTTTAGACCTTGGGATGTGAGCAAATATATTTACCAATTTAAAGGGGTTAGGGTTATTTAATAGACCTGAAGGAAGAACAATCAATGGGGTATATCATTTTTTTTTTTTGTTCCCTTTTTCTGTCTCTTTATTTTACTCCACTGCTAAGATCACCTTCCTCACTCAGAGGCCTCTGTTGCTAGAATGTGGCTGAAGAACCAAAAGAGAAGGAAAAAACTGCCTGCAGTGTGCAGGTGGTACAGTTTTTTGCTGTCGATTTATGCTAGCATTTGATTTGGATCTGTTTGATGTGCGCTTGGAACAGCAAACGCCACGGTGGTGGCAGGTGGGTTGGAATGTGCTCAGAAGCTGAGACCACAAAATAAGAAACGTATGAAGTTCAACTCCAGGTGGACAGATCCACAAACCTCAGCCAGCAGCTTGTCAGACAGGTTTCCTTCCACTGAATTCTAAACATTTTTCTCAACTCAGTTTTGTTAAATCCATAAAGAAAGCTCTTTATTTTGAATTTTTATTCATCTTTAACCTACTGGTAGTGGTGTCACTTTCTAAATAAAATAAAAAATATAAATTTTTTAGTCAAATAGGAAAAAAAGGACAAAAAAAAACATCAGGAAAACAGCCAATATGCACTAATACTGGCTCCCTTCATCTCTTCAAATAAAACAGAGGAGAAAAATACAAAAAGAATTTTTTTTTTTAAAGACAGGGTTGTTTCATTTGCTCCCCAACTTATTTGATCCAAGGCCTTTCAGAGGGTGGTACTATCTATTTTCCCCAATCCCCTACCAGTTTTGCTATAGTTTCTAAGTATTTTTTTAAGTAGGGAGGTGAAGAAAACACAGAGTTATTTCACTCTAAGAGCAAATGGAGAAAAATGAGAGCATGGAGGAATATAGATTATTCTTAATATAGGAATTTACCATCTTTACATTCACTGTCCACTTTATATGGAACAATTTTCTTCCAGCAGGTTGGACACTTTTTTGCCTTCAGAATCATCTTTAAATGGTTACACAGTGGTCATAGGAGGTGGGACAGCGTCGGCAACAATACTTTGGTAGACTGCTGCCTTTCAATTATGTGTAGCTGTTACTATTGGATCCCGACAGTGCTAAGAAATGATCCCTGTTCTATTACACCACCAGCAGCCTGAACTGTTGATAGAAAACAGGATGGTTTCATGGTTGTATGTTGTTTACATAAAAATTATGATCAAAATATGTGAATGTTGCAGCTAAAATCCAAGCTTGTAGGAGCAGGAAACATTCTCCCTCACTCGTTACTGCCCTGTTACTGACTTTTGTTTTTAGCCTGCGTCTTCTTTTTTTCCTTTTGTTAACTGACAGGAACAGCACTTTATGTAAATTCCTTTTTTGTCTCACAATGGGGAAATTCACCCTCTGCATTTTTACCCATCCCCTTGGGGAGCAGTGGGCTGCCATTGTGCAGCGCCGGGGAGCGGTGTGGAGTTAAGGGTTTTGTGTAGGAACCCAGAGTGCAGACAATGGGGATCGAACCGGGTACTTGCAACCTCCTCAAAGCACAAGCGCACTGCTCTAACCACTAGGTCAACACTCCCAGATCTGGTCTTCTCGAGAAAAATCTGCCAAAACCTTAGATGTGTTAAGTTGTTTTAGTAGTAATGAGTGATTAACTAAGCTTTTCTATTCCTACTCTTTGAAATTTAAGTGTCTACCATTTCTATTAACAGTAGATCAGTTCTTTTTGAAATACTCATATCAACCAGTCTGTTACCAACAGTCACACAACTTTAAAATCACCTATAGCCACTTTTTTTCTTATCAGACTGCCAATCTAGTTCCGTAAATGCATCAAGTCACTGCCATGTGCTCCACAAAATACTCCAACAACCAGTTGTAAGGGTGTAAGTATAAAACTGCATGGTCAGTGTATATCTCCATCACATCATGTTGGTGGAACTTATTTGCTTCTGAGAAGTAAGTTTAAGGGATCGCAATTAATTAAATTTGAAAACTATATTTTGCAATTAAAAAGAATACACAGATAAAATGTATCCAATAGCTTACATCTAAGAAGCAGAATAAAACAGATCCTCCTTCATATCCAAAAGCTCCAGGAACGCCATGGCGTTTTCACTATCATTTCCTTTTGTCTGTCTCTTTCTTTAAGTGACTGCACTCTGTGTGTGTTTTGCATAATTGCACTCTGCATCCTCTGCCAGCCCGTGGCTCACCAGAGTGCATGTGACCAATGACAGTTTTCCATTTTTCCGCCTTTATCAATAAAAGGAGAAATGTTAGGAAATAACTAAATAGCAAAAATGATCTTCCATGAAAGTAAAAAGAAAGCCACGCATCAAATCTGCTCGCACCATGAGTGTTTAGAGATAAAGACATGCTTGGTGGCAAACAGCAGTTTTTTTTATGCCGCTTCTGAAATGGCTTTTACTGTGATTGTAAAGGAAGTCCACCAAAGAGCCTGCTGGGATGCTGCCTCCCTTTCTTCCTCAGCTTTTAAGTCTTATCATATATATCAAGGTTAATAACAGCTGCACGCAATTAAGGTTTGGTTTATTTAAATACTAAATACACAAACAGCTGGTAATGATAATGTTTCTCTGAAAAACAAAATATGAAAAATAACTGTAGTTTCCTTTTTTATATGCTACTGCATATCTGTGTTGTTTTGTCTTTAAGACACTGCATTTGATTTTAATTCTCCTTTATATGATATCTCTAAGTTACTCTGTACAACTACACATTTAAACACGTTTTCTACTGCTGCACTTTTCTTTTGGGAACTCCTCATATTTCACATATTTTTTTCCCGTTATGGCAAAGCATCGCTAGTCCTCCAAAGCATTGACAATCTTTGATGCCTGTTTTTTCTTTAACCAGCCAAAAGACAACGAATTAATTACAATTCTTCTAAAGATTTGTAATCAATTGGTGTTGGATAGTGCTCCCCTCAGGGTTTTCGTCATACTGCAGGGCTGAGTACCTGCCATTAGGTCTGAACTGAGACCAAATAGCCTAAGTTGACAATGTTCTTTGCCTCTGTTGTCCATCTGGCTAACTGTAGCTATGGCCATAAGGTCTGTAGTGCCTGTTTGGCAGCAACGCCAGTGGTCACCTACAGCTGGCTACTGCTGAAGAAGAAGTATTTCTTCTTCACCTGTACAGGTATGATCACACAGGAATATATAGCTCCACTTATCAAGGAATTCTAGTGCTTTTTTGGGAACAACTGCTGTGAAAGCCACTTAGCACACATACAGCCAAATGGTGCAAAAACTTCCATAACTGTCCTGCCTTCAGTGAATCTACCATCTTACCATCACTTATAAGCTGTCAAAGTCTCACTGTGTGATTGTGTCAGCACGGACAAATCAAGAAGAGGCTCACAGAAGAGGTGCATCAGTGCCCCAACCTGTCAAAACATATTGCTTCACGAAATGAGACAAAAATCAGCTCAAGGGCAGATGCAACATAGGCAGAGGTAAGGGCAGAGGTCTAAAGTCCAGCCATCTGTAAACAAGCCAGCGGACAGAAACTCTTGTGCCAGTGGAACAGCGTTGCACGTGTATGAAGACATGCAGAGCGCGAGTAGCGAGATGCCCACAAAGTTATTTTCTCCTCCCGCAGATACAGTTCTTCACGCATGTATTTTTCTTCATTTTTCCTAATCTCAGGAGTGTTGACATGAAGGTGACACAATTCATCTAGTCTCTGTAGAAGGAGACCAACATGTGATGGGAATGATTAGTGGAAACTAATGACCAATTGTCAATTCACAACCTTAACTTATAGGATCAATTACAAAGCACTACATAATATTCATTGTAAGACCAGACAACGCAGAAACAACATTTTTGTTTACTAATGTTTTAATCAAAAGAACAATGGCTACAATTCAGATAAATGCTTCCAGATAATGATGACCTTGCCTTTCATCTGGACTAGTCCCTTTTCATCCCAGTCAGAATAACCACAAAACACCCACACCTTTCATCCTCCACAGCTACCCACTCATGGTTTTCCTGTAACATGTTCAGTGCCTTTATCCATCTAATAAAAGAGACTGTAAGGGCCAGTGAGTCTAAAAAAGTTGCCTCAGCCATGACAGCTGCCCTGATTAACAGCACTGTCCTGTAGGTTGATCTGATGAGCAGTGGAGTGCCAAGGTTTGATAAAGAGAATTGCCTGGACAAGTTCCAACATCTTTTTAGAAAGAAACCTTCAGTTTTATCTTTTTGATATAAAATATAAAGAATTTTTAATGTCTTATGGAAAGGACCTCTTGCCTCTATATTGACAGGATTTTTTTTCTCTACAGGCTTGAATATTTTGTTCAGGAAAATATCCAACTCAGTAAATTAAAATGAGAAGAGAGAAACGGAGAAAGATAATAGTAGCGGAAATAGGTGGGGACGGAGTTTAAGTGACAGAAAAGTACACAAAAACATAGAGATAGAAAAAGGGAGTCAAAGAAAAGTGAGGAGGGGTCGGCACGGATGATTAATTTCCGAAAGTGCCTGAAGCTGTGATCTGCCCACCCTGCACGCTGTTTTATAGCGGTTTTACCATGTGTGCATCCCTCTCAACTCCTGGTCCCCCACCCTCAGTCCCATTTGTGTAATTCAATTAGTGTGCTCCAGCGGGCCTTGATTGATTTGTTTAGGCGATCTACAAAATGGCTGGCCAAACCTTACTCTCTTTCCCTCCCTCCTGCTTCCTCTGCATCCCGCGTAGGCCTGCTGTTAGCACACTGCTCTTTTCATCATTTTATCTTGCTTTTGCAGTTTGCAGCTCCCATTAGTTTCTCATTTCTCCTCATCCAAACACTGCTTACTAATGCTCTACTATAGACCAATTAGAGCTCCAAATTAGCAGACTTACTGAATCGGTGGACACATAAAGATAATAACCTTTGCAGTTCATGAATTATATCCAGTTAAAGGCAGAGACAACTATGGATACTTCCAAAAAAAATACTGCAATGTTCAGTTTCTCATACTGAGGAAGAAAACAAAGAAACTAATTTAAAAGGAGCACGTTTATTTTCTATGTTCAATAATTGCAGTTTGGCGACACAAATGCTTCCTAGGTGGTGGGCTTACATTTATTTCTGAAAGGCTACTTCAAATAAAAGCTGAAAGAATTCATACAGAGCTGCTGCGCTGCTCCTGAATCAAAAAACCATTTGGTCACTTTGAATGGCAACAATATCTCAAAGGCAACAAAATTCAGCTGTGTATCCTTGGTTTTAATAGCTGAATGACTGAAGACAGCAAGCGTCGCTATGTGGTGGCCATGTCTGAACTTGCCATACTCTCTTTGTCTTGCTCTTATGATCACGCCCTCCCTGTCACTCTGGCAATGCTTTCACCACTCCAAGGTCACTACTCTGTGACCGCAGCAGCATGGGTCTCCACGTGTGATACCATTGTTGTCAGAGCCCATCTGTTGGTTTTTAATGCTTCAATAGAATCAGTAATGACACAGGTAGGAAGGTAGACTCGTTTTTACACCCGTCTCATATTTCAAGACCAGCACCTGTGTGGCTTGGTATCAAAGTAAAACTAATTTCATTTTCAGAATTTAAATAATAATAATTACATTAAATAATTAGCCAACCGATTAAATTTATCTAATCTTACAGCAGTTTATGCGAGAAACAAATCCCACTATTAGGTATGGGCTGCTATGATAAACTTATATGTCAAAAAATACATACAATTCCAAGGTTTCAAGATGTTTTGGTACTTTCATTTTGAATTTTAAATAGAAATGTATATCAGCCACCTGACATGCAGTTTGCAACAATATGTGGGAGACCTTTGTACTTCATATGACTAAAGAAAACTATACTACCTCCAGCACTTTTTCTTTTATTCCATTAAGAGCATTTTAAAATTTTAGATATTGTTGAAACCAGATATTTTCCCACATGTAACCTTGTTATCATGAACTAATCTATGCATACATACAAGAAATACTCTGTCTTATCTACTGTGATATAAGCCATATATACCTAAAGGCAAGTCAGTATAGGTAGGGAGTAATGCAGTGAAGAAAAAAAAAGCCCAAGGCTGCTTATCTAATTATGCAAATACAATGGTTATGAGTAATGCTTGCTTTTTGTGCTTTTTGCAATCAACAAAAAGAGATGAAGGTAGAGTTTGGATAAATATTCGATCACCAAAGGCTTTAAAGGTGGCTAATACCTCATTATGTTAATAAATGATTAAAAGGGTATAACCTTTGCCTCGAAAAGAGCTGAAACGAAAAACAAAATAATAATAATTTGACTACAGCTGACATGTAGACCAAAAATATTTATCTAATCCCTTCAAATACATGGGCAATCCTGTCAAACTGAGAAATCCACTTACCTGTTCAGGCTGTGGAACAAAGGCATTTTTCAACAAACACTGAAATCACATTGAATCACCGGGGGACAGTATGTTTGAGCAATAGCACCTGATGCATAATTACTAGTGAAAGATAAATTGCCGGGGGAAATGAAAGGAATAATGAGGGGAGATGAGGTATTTATTGTGCAGTGATTTTGTGATTCCTGTGAGTCGAGCGCCTTTACATCTGTGTCACTGTAGTCTTTCCTTTATATCCTTCCGTTCATCCTCAGTCGTTAATCAAAGCTGCTTTTTTTTTTGCATGGCGAGAAAATTCTGGATGTTGCCAATTCTCAGAAGGCATTAAGTGCACCCAAAAACACCCTGGTTTAGTTTTGCAGGTACAGGCTGCTATAGAGCTGAGTAGAGGGAATTAAATCAAAGTAATTTATGCCAGTTTTTTCCCCCTGACATATCTCAATGTACGAGGGAGGTGCATTTACATATGTGATGTGGTGGTGAACGGAAAGATCAAAGCAGACAAGGAGAAGGAAGAAATGGGGTTACTGAAGTCTTAAACAGTTTCAGTAGAACATAGTCTGGTCTTAATATATATAGGGCCACCGCCTCCAAGCTTTAAATCATTGCTCATCTACACTTGTAACCAAAATATTTATCTGTTGAAGAACAAAAAATAACTAGACACTAATGTTGCATTACTCCAGTGGTTCATTTCACATATATGAGTAGTAAAGAGGGGAAAGGGACAACACAGAACACACATGTATAATAAGAACATTAATAATGACATGAGACTGAAACACAGATTAGTACGGTATGACAAACTATTTACAGCAAACACAATAGACAAATACAAATGACAGTGATGTTAATACAATACGAATTTTATATTCTTTATTTTCCTCATATTAAGTTCCCCCGGTTGTATTAGAGGTGTTTATGTTTGTTTATGAGTCGGTTAAAGTATATTTATCCTGTTTTTAGCTTTACGTTGTTTTCTCGTTCTGAACAGCTTACCTCGAATAGGGGTACCCTCTGGAGGAGACACAAAAGTGAAGACATATAATCAGTTCAGCTCCGGGTTAATGTTAGTAATAGTTAGAAGGTATTTGGGATGAAAAGGTCACTGAAACTAAGTTATCACATCATTAGCAGATATATTACAGTAATCTGGACTGTTTCTGAAACAAGGGGGTAATAAATTTATTTTTAAAAAAGCAGAAAAGACAAAAACAATAATGTACTTCATTGCTGGTATCACAAAAGAAAGAATACTTTTATGACTGGGACCTTTTGACTTATTCCTTTAAATATCCTATGATGAGAAATGCAAAGATTTGATAGTATCAAAAAAACACTGAGGTGTCAGTTTTCAGGTACTTGAAATTCATTGTGATGAGCAGAACATTAGAGGGTTTATTTGCTACACTGCCATTTAATACATAAATAAGAATCTTATTGGCAACTATAACAGCAAGAAGCAGCAGTACTTTATACAGGAAACACAGATATAATACAATTTAGAGATATAACTACCTTTAGGTAAAACAAGTTCTATTTTTTATATTGAAGCTATTATTTATTTTGCAAGCCACAAACCTGCTTAACTGTGACAGACACTCTTTACCTCAAAGCTCATCCCGTCTCGCCAGTCATTTGATCCCTTGGCTGCTTCCATTGTTTTATTTCACTGAGAGTAATACTTTTTTATTTGTTGTTTACTTTGAGACTGTATATCGTTACATACTTGACTGCAAGCCAAATGTTCCATTAGGGACGATAAAATATTGAGTTTTTCCCGTTCTTGGCTGGTGGGTTTTAAGGATGTTGTCTGGCCTGTAAACTAAACTGTTTGCGCCGAGACAGAGGTTTAGCTTCAACCTCTCTGACTCTGAAATACATTTTCAATTAAAAAAAAAAGTAGCTGTTTATTCCTGATTTTCTTTTCCATTTTTTGCTTATATTTTTTCATCTTACATCCCGTTTGCGTCTTGAGTGCCATAGTACTTCCAAGGGTTTCCGTTTGTTCCCCATCTCTTTTCTATCAGTGGCAAAGAGAACACATATGACCTTGCTCATACTTTGAGGATGCCAGCAGGACAATATCAACACAACAGAAGTGTCCCTTTGACATTTTAAACATGTTGGCTTAAAGCCAAGGGTCAAAACTATGCACTGTCTATTAGGATTATCTCTGCAGGTCTCACCTCCCTCATACATACATGCCATTTTCAACTGGGTTATACTGTTGAGCTATACTTTATTTTCCTGTGAGCTGTGTTCATTTTTCTACAACTCTAAACTAGGCCATATTGCAATATCTACCATCTCCTTTAGCAACTAATCTGCACCATGATATTAACGGTTTTTGGGCTGGGAGAGGTTTTGGACTTTGTTCAGCTTTCCAAAGGAGCCTTACTGCCAAAATGGGCGTGGTACAGTAGGGTGATGTCATGATAAGGGCGACAGTGGCGTCGGAAGTAGGAGTTTGCCCTAAATCAAAGGAGGCTCCGACTTTCAGTGTCGTTGTATTCTTGGGCAAGACACTTCACCCGCATTGTCTACTTATGGTGGTCAGAGGGCCCAGTGGCGCCAGTGTACGGCAGCCCCGCTTCTGTCAGTGAGCCCCAGGGCAGCTGTGGCTATATGTAGCTTGCCACCATCAGTGTGTGAGTGTGTGCATGAATGGGTGAATGACTGAATGTAGTGTAAAGCGCTTTGGTCAAGTCTCCTGACTTGAAAAAAGCCGCTATATAAGTACAGGCCAAGCAAACTGAACTTTAGTGAACGGTTTAACTTTATGTATTGATGGAAAGATTAAAGTCAAAGTCTGGTTTTTCAGCAATACCGAAGACCTGTTGTTCGTCTGGTGTGGAAGAATCATTTCTCCGGGACAACAGATATAAATAACTATAATCATAGAACTGTTAACCTATTCTTTCTTTTGTTTATTTTCTTTTTATCCTTCTCCAAGAGGCCAAGTATATAGGAATGTATTTATAGGAGCATAATATGAACATAAGTGCTTTCATCTTAACATGTTCTACGATGTTTGAAACAATAAAAAATAAGGTACTGTCTCAGCAGACAGTAACCAGCACTGTACTGTACTCCATGTTGTAATACATAATATATAATCTGTTCACTACACCTTAAAATTACCTATTTTATTTTACTTGTACTTTAACCAATACTGTTTATTTATACATTTTTATATTGCATTTGTATTGTAAATATGTCTGAGAGTTATTTTACTTTTTAACTCATTGTTTTGTGACTTTCACTATGTCTTCAGCAGCTGCAATTTCCCAGCTTGGGATAATTAAAGTATATCTAACCTTTTCAAAATAGAAAAGACGTTGTTTTTGAATAGCTTCAATATATTGATAGTTTAGCTTGTGCTAAACGATGGGACTATTTCCCAGTTATGATCACCTCTATTCTAAATTTTAGAATAGCACCCAGAAAAAATATTTTAAATATAAATTCAAGTAATTCTTGTTCGAATAATCTATACAACCTATTGTGAATTAGATTCAAGGCAGGACCGGAACTGATTTTAAATTCCTGAAACTGCTGGATTTACATAATCAAAAAGGCGAGATGCATGTTTTTTTATTTATTTATTTATTTATTTTATTTTTTGTGTGTGACTTCAATATTGCGCAGTGCTGTCTTATCAGCACTTAAAAAAAACATAGGATTTTGAGTATATTCTAACTTTTGTCCACCATGTTAATAAAATATGAGTTTAAATACACAGTATATCTTTTAATCATTTTTACTAGCCTAAATAAATAAGTGCAGTAGATGGTACAGGAAATCTACACAAGGTACATAACTTTCAAATCTATTACCGGTAGGTGAAATTGTAGCTGTATTCGTGCATAAATGACCATCTTTTGTGATACCAACAATTAGTATTCAATAGCTCTAAAGTTTTGCCTGGTTTTTAATGACCCTTCAATTTTTCCTTTTTTATAAACAATTTATCAAACTGTACTTGATATTTTGCTGAACATGTTATTAGATTGTTAAACTATCTGTAAACAAACATGTAAAGCTGAAGTTATGTAGATATTAGTACTAAAAATGCTGGGACTGACTATAAATTAAACCTAAATATTTTAATAACAAAGAGCACAATTGCATCAAAATGTTTTATTAAATTTTAGAAACTATTTTTGTTTTAAAAGTTCATAATTTCTTTAATCCAATGCTAAAATAATTAATTTGAATACAGTATGCTGCATTGCATATGATACTATTAATGAAAGCTGAGAATCACTAAAAAAACAGGCAAAACTAATATAACATTTAATGTCTTTTTGAATGAAAGTATACATACGGCTGGGTGAGTCACAAGACACAGGACACAGGGTAAGTTAAGTTGTTAGAGTTAGAATCAAGTAGAGGCTGCAGAAAGCTGGTTTATTTTGCTTTAGCTGAGATGAATTTTAGTTGGGAGTTAAGAGGTTTTATGGTTAGAGGTTAAGTTAGGTTAAGGTTAGAGCAAGGTCAGGGTTAATAAAGGAGATTTATACAAGGGATGACAATTACATCTATCACGAAATGAAAGGAGCAACTAAAAGGAGACAATTAAATGAAAATAATGAAGTGTTTGGGTAGTTAAGGTTGCTTGGTTGAAAAGTTAAAATGAAACAAACAAACAAAAAAACAAAATAGAAAGGTTTGTCGAATTATAACATCATTTAATGAATATTTAAAAAGTTTTAAAACTAAAACATCACAAGCAGATCATATGAAAGTAGGCCAAGACAGTTAGGCGGAACTGTTTGGTTTTTAATTACAATACCAAATCCACCTCTATTAGGGACACAAAACGGTTTTGGCATAAGCTTCCCCTCTAAGCTTTGGTCAGCCTGGCATTGAACAGATTAGGAAGACAATTACCTAAATATCCTAACGTGTCTCTGTCTTCCTTAAACGATCAAATGTGGTATTATTTAAATTTTAAAAAACCCTCTGAATATATTTTAAAAAGGTATAACTAAAGGCTATATAGAGACAGCTTAGCCAGAGGTGTTCTGCATCTGCATGTGAGGGAAACTAAGTTGCGTGATTGGCTGTGTGTCAAAGTCTGACCACCCTCCAGAGGGCATCTGGCTGACCTTCTCGATGTTCCAAACCCCCGCCCCCTCTCGAGTCTGAGTGTGTGGCAGTAGGTCCCTGAAAAAAAACTCTACTGTCACTACATCTGCAGAGGTCCCAGCCTCTCTCTCCAGAGCGACTCTGATGCTGACATGAGTGTAAATTTAAGGATATTACGTGTGACTCAGAACACACAATGATAAATTGTGAATGTGACGATCCTGCAGTTTGAGGTGTGCTTTTGTTTTTTTCAATAAAATATAGAAGAACATTTTCTTTATGAATACTCATCCTCTCACTGTCATTGTGGCCTGTGGTGAATCATAGTGGTTGACAAGGCCAGTGAAGGCCTGGGGTCTGCAGCCATGGGAACTGGGGAGAAATGTCAGGCTCCCTACACACCTCTAAAGGAACACCTTAGGGGAGCCTGATTCAAATATCACTGCCCCACCAGCACAGCATGGTCTTGAACATAAGGAACCAGTCTGCCAGCAAGTCTGCCAGCTAGTGAGCTATCTTGGAAACATGTTTTTCTTTTGATATAATGGCTTTACTTATATTTTGTTCTAAAAGGGTATATGGCAGAGCCAGAGTTTTCTAACAGGCTAAAATAGAAAATAAATCATCAAATTGAGTTTAAGGTTATGAAATCTACTAGAGCAAGCAAAAGACTGGAAAGGTAACAGCTAGTTTCTATCACCCCAATTCAATGACCTGATCCTTTTGTTTTTGTCATCATGACCCCCCAAAAAATCTACTAATAATTAAAACAATCTATATTTACTAAATGCATGATTAATGAGGGTAAAAAAATTAAAGGCTTTCTTTAAATAAATTTTAATACATTTTTTTGCAGACCAGGATTGCATATTTTGGGGATTATTGGATGCATATTTCATGGCTTTGCAACCATGATAAGTTAAATTACAAAAAGGCATACCTGTGGATGTGTAAAAAAGTAAAAACAGGCATGACAGTTGTACTCAAGTTTGAATTGCATATCTATTGCTCATACACCATATAGCAGGAAGGAGACCAGTTCTGCATAAAGTGAGCTTATTAAATCCTACAACAGCAAACTAAACAAAACTTACATTGATACGGTCTGGAAGACCACTTAGTGAGAGGCCATCATTGCTGCAAATGCAACCTTAAAAGCCAAACTTATGTTGGCAAATGGATTCAAACATAAAGATCTCATATTTATGTGTTCTGATGAAACAAACTTATTGTACATGTTTTACTTTTAATAAAAAACTAAAAAGTAACTGAAATATATGAGTTTGCATGTAGAAGTTAGTCTGTTTCCATGTTGTGATTTGTCAAGTAGATGGTGAATAAATAGAGTTTACATCTTTGCCCACAGATTATAATCTGGCCATAATTCATTTCTATACCATCTATATGTGATGCTAATAAATCTTTCCCAAAACATTTTTATTGATGGCCTATGTTCCAGCTTCTGGGGGACAAATTTCAGCTGATCAGAATTGGGAAGACTTCACAAATCTACTTATTGTTTAAAAATGCTAAATTTATGGCAAACTTACAGTATAATGCCTTATTAACTCTATTTTAAAAATGGAAACCTCTTTGGCAAGAAAAACGTAAAGCGTAGCCTGGTAATACAAGTAAAGGCTCACATTAGTGAGAGTTAGGAAAACCAAAATGAAAGATTAAGAATGAACTGAGTAGACCAGGGGGGGACATTAAAAAAAGAGGAAAAAGGTTAGGGTTGGGGAGCAAGGGTTGCATGCATTTTGGGAGGTGGTTCTAATATGCCGTCTGCTTCAAGGAGAGTGGGTTGGCTTTATGAGCTTTGCAAGTCACTTACCAAATCTTTCTGAAAATGACAAAGCAAGAAGAAGTAATTAGAAAGAAAAGAAGAACAACAGAGTTTATTTTAGGACAAAATTTAGGTTAGAATCGCCAAATACTTAAAAGGAAGTAGAATCTAGTTAGCCATTTTGTTTATCTAACCCTTACATATTAAAGCATCAACTTGATATTTACAGTATAAGTTGCTATTAATGGTTTTTATTTTTTAATAATTATATTAGAGCAATTAGTTCAAAGGTTAAGAGGATTTTTTATCTTTTAGTTTGTTTAACTTTTTTTATCATTTCCTTTTTGATTACAACTGTCATATGAATCAAAGTAAATACAAGGTTTTTGAAGCCCTTGTGATGTGCCATGAAGCACATCTCAGTTTCAGACACCAACATAGACAAAACACTTTAACAAAGAGAGTGACAACAGGACAACTGTTAAACAGGAAACACAAAGAGAGACTTCAAGGTATCATGAAACAGAGAGACAGATGATACAAGGGTTAGACAACACTGGAAGCTAAATTTATTTTATCCACAGAAGCCTATTACTCACAAAGGCACAAGGAACAAGTTGAAGATTTGTACAGTTTTACAGGTAAAACTGTTTTTCAAAAGCTGTAGTTGACCCTTTAAATGATCCCACTAAAATAAAAAATGCTGATGGGGATAAACAAATGTGTAACAAAATTGAAGAAAAGAACTGTCCCGGTTTTACTTAGAAAATCTATAACAAGTTTCAAAGTTTTATAGCCCAATATTTATTGCAGGAAATCTTACGATTAAATGGGCTAAATCTAAACAGGACCATAGAGTATGCAAAAGACATTCTAGGACATTCTTATGCATATAAATTGAAACTAGCAAATTGTAATTCATCAGTAAAATTTGGCAACTAAGCTGGGTTTAGGTAGTTAACATGTATAATGGACATTTTAAACAATCAGTTCAAGTGTGATATGAGTTAAAAAGCTTGTATTGTTTAAGGAATATAGAGTATAAATGAACAAACATTTGTATGTTCAAGGATTCATGTTCAAATGTTTCATCTTTATCCACAACCAATAACTTTTGCCTAAGGTAATCAGTTCTATGTCTTCCAGAAGAATGTATACCCTTTGAAACTTTCACATTTTTCAGATTAAAGACATCAATTTCAATTGGTTTTATTGGGATTAGATGTGATAGACCAACACTAGGCGGTATAACAGCAAGAGGAAATAAAAAAAATATCTATATTTTTAAAATAAAACTATAAATCTATCTGATAATTGATATTTGCATTTTTATTCACCTCCCTTTTATCAATATATTCTAAAATTTCACTTCTTCTTCTAGATCTTCCTGTTTACTAACTTTTTGTATCTAGAGACTGATTTTTTTCACAATAATTCTTTATGAAATACCTTACGCTTACATTGATTTAGGAGTTTCTATACAGCAGTCTTTAGTTTCTAAAATAGAGTTAGGTCTATGTCATGCTATAGCTCATTTTATGCTTTGATGTCTATCTACATGTTTAGCTAAGCTGTCTCTCTGACATGTTGGTTTATGTCACATTTATCAGTTCAAATATAGGCTAAAAAGTTAAATGTTGGTCTCATTTGCGAGGACCCCAGCTTCCAAAGGTTTGCTGAAGAAGGGTCCTTTTATACTTAAGCAACCTTGCCCTTTCTCCATAAAGGCAAGTATTGTGAAGTGTGCAGCTGAGTAAGACGTCATTTAAGTCACCAATCCAAATGCAGTTCTTCTACTTCCTTGATCATGAATTGAAGTGCTCCTTGAGATTTTCAAAGCTTGTGTTTTACACCCCAGAACTGTCTTTAAACATCCATATAATGTCATCACATGACGCATTTTCTATGTTTCTTGACCTTCATGATGCTGTTCATTTACTAAGGTTCTATTGAAAGCTCCCAAGGTCTCTATAGAATACCATTTACTATGACTGAGTTATACACATTTGGACCTCTGAAGGCAAGCGGTTAACCTGCCTTGTTTAAGTTAAAAGAGACTTTTATATTTTAATGTATAAAATGCTATTCCACAGTTGTGCATGACTTTTTGATGGGCTATCACATCAATCTCCAATCCAACATTTGTGGTTAAAGATATAAAACATGAAAAGTTCTAGAGGTAATGATACAATTAGATAACACTGTATTTGTTGCCATGGAATCAATAAATCTAGAGTAATGCAAAAAATATAAAAAAAACACACAAATTTCTGTATTGAGAAATAAAAAAGAATATTTGCAAAAACAAAAAACAATATAAAAGATGTTTCAGAACATGTTTTTCATTAGTAAGGGATTCATAATAAGATGATGTATCATTAATTCTGTGAATGTACAGCCTTTGAGGGGATTTAATAAAATCTAAAACTCATTGGTGTCAGAATCTTTATTTAGAGACCTCGTCCCCCATTTCTGGTTGCAGCAACAAATCAAATGAAAGTCATTTGATTTTTCAAATGGTGACAAATCATCGACCGAAAATATCTACCCCTGTTGCCCAAAGCCACTGCAGGGCCTGCACTTAATTAGCAATATAATTAGACTTTGCATTACTGGGGCAATCTGTGGGCTTTAATCAATCTGAACAAGAAAGCTTTTTCACATGAGAGTTTGCACTGCAGAATGTGAACATTGTTGTCATTGTCCACAGTGACACAGTTTTGGGATAATTAAATTTATTTAACCCTCAACTATAAACTCCCAATGCTAGTTTGCTCATAACATATCACTTGGAATCAATGTCAGAAAATTTCCATTCTAACTTAACTTACTATTACATAAATAACTGACACATGCAAAAAAGTCCAATCATATGTATTGTTATCAGAATAGCTGGAATGTGGAATCTGCTGGGAAAGATGTAACACAACAAAAAAATGTGGCTAAAACTCGTCTTACCTGAGCGCAGTTGCTTGATTCGTCCATTACTTGCACTTGGATCTATGGGCAGAAAGTCTTTGTACCAGGTGATTTCTGGGTCAGGGTTCCCACTGGCAGAACAGAGCATGGTGGCTGTTCGAGTTCTCTCTACCACTTTGAGTTGAGGACCCATGTCAATATTTGGGAAGCCTGGTGGCAGAAGGTCCTCTGTGGGGAAAAACAGGGAAAGGGAAGTTGAAAAGCCTGTAAGTCAGGAATTCAAAACTTATTTGTGAGCCAATCAAAAATTATGTATTTTAAGTTTGTTTGGAGTTGGTGTCCTTTTTTTAACAGCCCCAGAAAGTTATCACCGTCACAAATCCATGCTTCCGTCACGGTGCAAACGTTAAAAATGTAATAGTGACTAATAACGCGACATTTAGCAATTTATATATATATTGAAATTAAGAGAGTGAGTGAATCACAATCAGACAAAACGTCTTTGAAATTAACAAGCAATCATTTGAAAAGGGATGGAAATGCACGGATATGCACAGACAGTACATCTAAGAAAATCAACTTGATTATGTGGCTTTGACCTGCATGCAAGACTGAAGCAACTAACAAAGTACCTGATGTACCTTTTTGATTTGGTTCAGAAAAGAAAAATCTTCAAAACTAAATACTTCCTTACTGCCTTACAATTCTCAACTGATGCAAACAACTAGGTACATAATTTGACAAATTACAATGCACTTTGTGGGTATTGCAGTTAAAACCAGTAATACTTCGAACATCACCAAGAAAAAAACTAAATTGATTATTTGACTTGATCCAGTTCTATACAATAAATAAAGTCACAACAAGCATATATTCAAAGGAATGTTTTTATTTATTTATAAGATAACAAGACCCAATGTTTTATTCTAAAGAGAGGTTAAGCTGATTAATGGAAGAACTCAAATATCACTATCATACATCATATCATTTCACCTTTTGAACATTTTATTAGGACCATTAGCTCATTGCATATTACACTGGAGTAATTTTTTTGCAGTTGCATTTTTCATTAATATTTCTCTTCATATCTTAAAAAAAAAAAACTCCTCACCAGAAACAAGTAATTTCCTAAAGCAGATCGTGCATGATTGAACAATAATTTCTGTTTAAGAGATGACGGCTTAGTGCATTCTGTGGTCATTGCTCTCCTCCCTACTGTCTTTGGGCAATTAGTCCCATGGGTCAAATTGCCTGACCTTTTCTCCGACTGAAGCCAGAGCAGTGATTCATTCTCAGATGACAAGGGAAGTACCCAAAGCTATAATATGCATCTGAAGCTCAAGGCCACATCCCAAATGGGAGAGGATTGACTGACTGAAATACTGACCAGTGGCACAAAAGAGCTGCATTTGGCAAACCAATGACCTCATATTCACACTGCAGCCATCACAGCGGCCTCTTGGCAAAATCAGAAATATAATTTATGTAAAATTAGGACAAAATCCTCTGTTACCGTTTTAGTTGGTCTTTTAAATCAGGGCATATTCTGTTTATCACTGAAGATGCAGTTCTGTTAATAAAAACTTACTAAGAATCAGATTGTTTCAGTCCGAATCCAGACAGGTTGTCTGCTAGGTTGATATAAGACCACAGTAAATATTTTAACGGTGGGTCAAAAAGTGCAGGCATTTACACTGTTATGTTTCAAGCCGTTTCCTCTTCATTATTTATTCATACCATCCCTTTGTAATTCCTTTATACCTGTTCATCTGAAGCCCAGAGCAGCCTTAGCCAACGTTTTGCTTTACAAAGGTACACAACGTTTTTTCTTACAAACTCCCTTCTCTGAGTGTCATCGATGATCTATGTGTAAGATACCATCAAAGGTGTTGCACTTGTGTATGCCTCTTATGAGTACCATCTGTTAGAGAAGCCTATCTGCAAAAGAGTAGCTCTGCCCTGCACTCCGAGTATTACATCTGATACCACTGCCCTATGTGCACAACAAATCCCTCTAAATTCATGGTATGAAAGCATAAAACCAAGGCTAGTACAGGCCACATTAAAGTAGTGTTGTGCAATTTTACCAGTAGGTAATGAATATATTAATCAGAATCAGATTTATTGCCAATTTGACTTGGTGCTAATGGTGCAGAGAAATTAGACATATATAAGGAATACTGAATCTATAGTTATATACACAATATAAAAAAATACAGTATACTATATACAATATATAGTACATATCTATATACTAAATACAAAGTAGACTGTGCGTTAACGTAATGCAGCAGGTCTGGAGATGCTACGTTGGTGTAAATAACTAGAAGTGGAAGCTAGAGTTAATCAATAGTTCACTCAAATCATCGTGGGGTCCACGTAACATGGCTTCAGCTGAGGAGCGGCGTGTCGTGCCTATCAGACCCGGGGGCCCACAGGGCAAAGAGAGAGAAGAGTGAGAGTCGGCTGCCTAAGTAATCTCTGTCACAGGGACGTGACGTCTTGTGGTAGTTGCTATCGCTTACATTATTTGACATTTGACCTCCAAAAGCAGGACGAGAATACACACTGAGTAAGTGGATTTGAAACTAATTTGATTAGGCAGAAGACGGAGGGAATGTGCGCAAAGGGGCTAAAATAGGGCAGAAAAGGTGGATAAACAAGCAAACTGAGCAAACAAGAATCCTAGGATTATGGATCTGCAGATAGATTATACCACTATTACAGCTGCTCTGACCTGATACAGCACCAGCAGCTTTCCTGGACAAATGGCATGCATGTTGGCTGCTTGCTTCCCTGGAAATAGAGTCAGATACAATCTCATGCCCTGAAGCTTACAGGCTCTGTCGATAAAGGCGGTCATGCAAAATAAATAGATCACTCATCGAGGGAGTGGAAGTTTAGGGTTAGCCAGCCTGGATATGAAGGCAACTGACATGCATGGTATCCTGGAATTCTCAAAGGGGTCCGTCTCAATAGCAGAACAGCAAGTGTATTTCTATGATTTCTGCATTTTGTGATAATAGATATGAAGAGGCTAAATGAAATAAATTTAAAAAAAGCCTGGTCAGACAAACTGGTATGACGTATAAGGCTTGTCAGTGCGATAAAGAGCTGGTAGAGCTTGATTTCAAAGGCGGGACTAACAAGGTCACCCTCACCTCATTATACTTTGAGTGACAAAAGTATCTCTAATTAAAGAAGTCAATTTTGTAATACAAGCAAGGGCTGTTTCAACTTTGTGACTACCTCCACTACTAGCTCAGACGCATGGAATGAAAGCACCTCAGTCATGCCTTGAAGAAGTCTAATTAAAATCTCCTTTAATGAGCACTTTATTAAGGCACATGCATTTCTAGAGCCTGACCTGTAAAATCCTGAAACCTTTAATAAAGTTGCAAGAGCCAGTTTGCTACAGTATACCACATGCCATTAAATCCCTAGGTGTCACTTCTCTGCTCCCCAGCTACCCAAGCGAATAAATCACTAATACAAGTTATTGCCTTGCATTGGTGAGGATTTTATGCTGCATATGAGCTGTTGACATTATCATACTGCAAATGCCATTAATTTTTAAGCGTAGCCAAAATCAGAGGCTTTAGAAGTACAGAGTTCCGAGCCATCAGTGATCTCCCAGAGTGGAGAGAGTCATAACTAATGATGAAGAGGGAGAGGTGAATCCCAGCAGACTGGGACTGCAGCAAAGCGCTATGATGTGCTCCACCATACCCCGCACCTATTACTCATATTATTATTTTCACTTACAGCAATGATTTAATTTCATCAGCAGCCTAATCAGGTTAACTGATTACCCGGTGCTGCAGCGTAGAGACACAGGCTTTGAGCAGGCATGTGCACTAAAACCACAGAGGGTCTATGGGGACACAGACAGAGAGAGCACAGGAAGGACAGAGAGACTTCAAACCTAATTTGAGCTATAAAGTACACAAAATGAAGATAATAAACATCATGGGTTTAGATGCAGAAAAAAAAGATAAAAACAAAGACATAAGTTACCTTTTATGAATAGAAAGGGGTACACTGATGAGATACAAGTTTGATAAACCTATAAGCCAGAATAAATTTGTGTTAGAATGATAAATATTTAATTTACCAGGATGTTTTAACTACAGGGTAGACAGCAGACACACAATCCTATATTTTTTACTACTGCTCTTTAATAATAGTTTAGTTAGTGGTGGATTCAAGAAAGAAAGTAATCAAATACTATCAAATACTCTAGGTAAGATGATATTTATCTGTGATGGGGAATATTCGTTGTCTTTCTTTGTTTAGTTCTGTGTACTGGAGTAAAGCATCTAACAGCCAATAGTCACTGCACACAATGTGCAAAAGCCAATTTGAAATAACAATATTACCTAAACTTGATTTTCTTTCAAACAGGTGGAACAAAGTTTAAGGCATCCTTTCTCTTGTTTTTGTGAAATTCCATGTAAAAAATGACCGGTTAGACTCATGTTAAATTGCATGAAGGAACATGTGTAGAACAATAGCAATGAGAGATCCAGGGACAGAGAAGAATACCAACAGAGGGGAAATCTAATCACAGTGTCTATGGCCCCAGCACCGATAGCCCTCTCCAAGATGGCCATCTCAGCTGAATAAGGGTTATTATACAACCAGCACTCAACCTCTACTCTCTACTCCATTCCCAGAAAGACATCTGATGTCCTATTAGTATTCTCTGCACCCAGCACATCTAGCCACCAAGGGCAACATTTACATCAAAATCTCCCAAAATACAATCTAGAGAAGCACACAGGATGAGCAAACGAGAGGCAGGAAGAGGGGGAACATTTTGTGGAGGGACGTAAGGGTGAGTAAAAGTTCTGTTAAAAAAAAAAAAAAAAAAAAAAAGCAGAATTTGCAAGGTGTGTTACCAAACTCCCCTAAATTCTTATGTCAATATGCACATAGGGTACTGTGGCTTAATATGTACATAATAAAAAGGTTCTGTCTCTGAGGCTCGAAATGTTAACCCTTAGGCATTGATGATTTTTTTTTTTTTTTACTTTTAATGGCTATCACCTAGTGGCAACACCTATTACTTACTTTCCCAAGTGCAATTTGGTTATATTACGGTAAGTCAACTAAAGTTTGGTTAATTCTGCATTTATGGTCTTCATAAAATAGTAAGCTGATAAGATGCCTCTCCTATTTTCTAAACATCAAAGAAAATGTTTTTTTTAGCTCCTAAATTGCATTAT